GTGCGAGTACCAACGTTTGTTGTACCGATCGGAGCCACGCATCAACACCACCTGAGCTGTCAGGTATTCACTAGTGAACATTCCTGCCTTTCGAGTTTTTTCCCAATCATTTTCTAAAATGTTTCCCCGGCCGGTTTATCCACTTTCCCGATACATTTCGTCGCCCCTCTGACGCCAGGGCGTATCTTAATTTATACGTGAGCCCCGTGTTACGTATCAATCCGTGCTTTCTGGGGCTCATGGGGAGATCGAGATATGCGCTTACGTCAGAGGGGCGACGATTTGTGTGCTAGAGGGCGCGGTTTACTTCCCCTCGCCGATCAGCGCGTCTTTCTGCCAACCAGTTTTGGAATCATTTCCCCCTGAGATTCATTTAGCCCTTTTATCTGGTACGCAGGTGGATGATCAGCGATGCTGTAATACCTTCAGCATGCGCTCCCCTCCTTACTCGAGGAGAAAAACACGTGTAATTCTTGAGTAAAAACTATATTTTTCGGATTCGCACAAAATTCCGCCTTACCATTACGTTTATCTCCATCCCGAGATTTTGCACGGATTACTGTAAGTGAGGTTGACTGTTTTTGGAATTGTGCCATCTTGGATGGGACAAGGAATTTCAAGCCTCTCATTCGAAAACATCGGATGTTTCATTTCAATTGCATTGCATGACCGTTGTTGTTACTTATGAAGATTCATTATAGGGGGAAACAAAATTATTTTCAAACAGGGTGATCGCATATTTATCAATGAAAAAAAAACATTGCTGTCCCCTATATTTATGTAATTTTCTGATAAATAGAAGAAGAAAAAAGGGGGAAAATGCCGTTGTCCTGCATTTTTGCAATCCCACACATGGCAACTGATATCAACCGCACTCAGATTTTCTTCCTTAATTTTCATCTTTCTTCATTGTAAATATTTGGAGCACGTACATTAGCCCTCTTCTGAAAGCTGTTTTTCCTTTTTCTGCTCAATTGCTGAGTTTGAATAAAATCTGCACTTTTAACTTCTCAAATTACTCGATACGGCTTGCGTATATGTGGTTAAAAAACTTTGATGATCCGAAATATTAAAGAAGGATACATTTGACTTCATTCTTGTAGTGTAAGCTTCGTCATATTTTCCGCTGTGACTAAAGGTTCCTTTATTCTGATCTTAAAGGTCTCATTTTGACAGCGTGAGGCTGAGGCAGTCGACCAAATTTCTTTAATTTTTGAAGCATACAGATGCTTTTACAGGCGCTTCTCAGGAAATTTATCGAAAAATATTCCAAAGAAAATTACAGCTACGCCGTAATCCTATACTCTTCCTGTCCTCAATGGGTAACCTTAAACGGTAATAGGTCAAAATGTCCAAAAAAAAATGTCCATAAGTCAAAATGTCCAAACCCTGAATGCCCAAAAATTTAAAAAGGCCAAATATCAGTAATGTCCAGCAGACAAATAAGTCCAAAAGTAGGCGAATGTCCAAATATGGAAAGAGTAATTATATAGGTACTAACTATTTGTTGTTATAGACAAGAATAACTTTTTTTTTATTATTATTTTTTATTTTTTGCTTTTCATGCCAAACGGGGTAATATTAGCCATGTTTGTTATGTTTGTCAATTCCACTTAAAATTTGGAAAATAAATCATAATGCATTTTTAAAAGTAAGAATTGGCCTGCGCTCATAGAAAATTGTATCACCATTTTTTCCTCACCTGCATCTCTCCATTATCCGACGCATCTGTTTCTATGGCTGCATTCACGAACAGCTTGCAAAGCTGCACCCAAAACTCCAATGACAACTCAACCAATGCCTGATCTCACATTTGGACGTTTGCCTACTTTTGGACTTATTTGTCTGCTGGACATTACTGATATTTGGCCTTTTTAGATTTTTGAGCATCCAGGGTTTGGACATTTTGACTTTTGGATATTTTTTTTTGGACATTTTGACCTATCACCCCTTAAACTGCTTGGTTCGGACATTGACTCCGTCGTGCTGAAAAAATTCGCCGTTTAAACATTCGAATGTAGCCAAATGTTTCAATTAAAATATTTGTGCGGAAAATCTGAACTATTTTTCCTTAAAATTTTCAGATATTTTAGATCAAATTTCGTAAGAAGTTACCTGAAAAATTCAAAGGAAAATATTCGTAAGTTTTCTTGGGAATTCGTGTTTCATCAACAGACGTCAAACACGGAAAACGGAATTCTTTCCTATCGTTCGGATACGAACCGCGATGTGACCGTGACTTTGAAAGTATAGTGAGGCCTCGCATGATGAGCAATTTGCCGGCAAACGTCCTTGCTGTAACTTTCGTTATTTCTTCTGTACTACCCCCCCCCCCCCCCNGGTTTATCACGGTCCGTTGTGAGCATAATTAAAAGGGCAGTTTTAAACGTGCAATTCGGCTCAATCAAAAATAGACGGTCTTGCTTTGGTTTCGCGATCTAATCGTCGTTTACGACTTAGTTTTGGTCGCCTGTTTTCCTCCTTATCGGGTGGCAGCCCGAATACCGCTTTATTGTTTTATTTTCCACGCCTTTAGACCGCTCTCCTAGTGTCTAAAAAGAAAAAGAAACAAAAAATTGAGAAATGTATTGTTAAGATACAAAATTTGAAATCTCAGTATCTCTTGATCCAACCATTCCAAAAACACGAAAATCCATGCATGAACAAGCCATTTCTACTCCCTACTTTGAGATGATGAATTTTCCATTTTTACTCGCGAAAACCAGAGAATTCGCGGCGGATCGAAGTTTTTTGCCACCGAACCTTGGCAGCCCGTTGCTACAGAGGGGTGCATATATTGACATCAGTTCAATTGGAGGAAAATGGGCCCTTAAAGTTTTTCGTGGTGATCTCGAAATATCCCAAATACTCCTGCAGCCTGATTTTTGAAACTATATTTAGCTTTTTCGGCAAGACAAAGCAAGACATATCCGTGCCGTCTAATTTGTAGATCTCTGATATCTTGTCGTGCTGACAAAAATTTCAACAATCAGGCTGCTGATTCTTATCTTTTAAATGAGTCATGGTGTTGAAAAAAATGGCACCGAAGTATATGTATATCAAACGTCCCGACCTTTTCTCTACTATCCTACCCTGGCGTTAAAGTCACCAGATGTATCAACAGTATTAGATACTATTATTTTATTTTGGATATTTCTTTTGGAAAAGAATCCAGACACTTCGAACTAGAGGGAGAGGGGGGAAGGTGGAAGGGGGATCTGGGAGGCTTCTCCTCGAAAGTTTTCGAAATTTTGAAGTATCTAATACCTATGCTGTTTGAGTCAATTTTGTCATTAACAAGTATCAAATATAAGCGTTCTCCCTCCTTCTTTCCCTCGTCCCTCCCTCCTATTATCTTTCCTCCCTTTTTCTCTCTACTTTTTCTCGAGCCAACGGAAGGAGAGAGGGCGCGCCTCCCCCCCCCCCCCCCCNTGGATCCACCCATGATTCCTTCTTATTTTTGACGAAAAATAAGTTGTAAGAATCCGAGCTTGTAAAATATTCATTCAAAATTCCCCGCATTGCTTGATCGATTAATGTTCAATAGTGATTTTTTATTTCATTGAAAGTATTTTGTTGCTTTCGTAAATGTTTCGCATTGCGTCGCATAGACGGCTCTCAACGGTAAATCTTCTGAATCATAGATTTTATGTCCGCCAGCTCTATATGTTTTTTTATTTATTTATTTTTTTTAATCAAAAGAAGTGGTCAATCTATCAGTTCCATTTACTGAAATAATCACAACAATGTATTTGCATTGATGTATGTTCTTTATAATTTACATGAATATGTCAATCACATTCCTATGACTATTCATTACACAGTTTCATAAAAAAAGCCTCCTTTTCCCATCTTACTGCATTCTGATATTTTCGTGATTTGGAAGTAGAGAAGCAATAGCAACGTACAACTTTTCCTCTTGTAAACGCGAGAAAACCTAGGAACTATTTTGCGATATTTCTGCAAAAATATGGTAAAATTTAAAATAAAACACGCATATCCACTTACGACGTTGCCGATTGCAAATCAGATTTATTGTTTTTCTTCCGAGGAAAAAGTAATGAACATTCTTTTGTGGAATTTCTACTTATCTTTATTCACCCAGAACAGCAGTTTCTGCAAACACATCAAGCAAATATTAATTTATTTTTCTTAAAAATTGCGGCATAAGTGGAGATTGAAACGTCCAAGTCGAATTATGTACACGTGTTTTCACTTTCATCATCAGTATGCTCATCGAAATGAGCATGTAGTCCAAGTTCAAACCATAGCACTTTTTTAAGGGTATCCTTCCAGTAATATTTTACCCCAGGTTGATACGAGGAGTTCATATGCCTATCTGTGTGATTTTGTGAAGCTCTTAGTGATGGAAGCGCATAAAACCGCATGCTCCGCACGTCTAAATCATCTGCACACTATATCGTTGCTTGGTTGACATAGGGGCGTAACTACACATTGAGATGAGCCCGGAAAAGCATTGAATTGTATGGAGGTTAGGGTTTATTGCCGAATGTAGTTATACAAATCTCGGCTAAAATTCGGGCCCAGCGCCACAGAGTGTGGCGGTACACTCCTGCAAAATCCTCAAACCCTTATGTTTAAAACCGCTTGAGTCCTTAAGTCAGGTAGGCGACGATATGGGCAGAACTAGGAACTGTGCTTAACTAAACTTACTAACTTACGAAGAAGGTACTTTCTACTAACACCCCATTGGAAAAAAAACACATTGGATTTAGAGTCCAGACTCTTAAAAACATCGACAAGAATAAGTACTCTTGATTCAATCAGATTTAAGCTTAAATCAAAAGGAAATCCGCTCAAATTAAGAGGCTTGGTTCTTGATTTAAGCTTAAATCTGATTGAATCAAGAGAATTTTTTCTTGTCGATGTTTTTAAGAGTCTGGACTCTAGATCCACCAATGTGTTTTTTTCCAGTGCCCCATTTAAAGATGTCCGGTCTTCTCTTGTATTTCATTGAGTGTTGTATGATTTTTTTTCAGTGTACGACGCCTCGGCGAAGCTCCCTCACGGGGTGATAGTGGGCAACAACTATCAGTTCGGGAATTTCGACGAGTGCATCAGAGCGCACGTGGACCTGGGCCCGGTCCAGGGTGGCACGCTCGATGGCCAGTACTGCCTCCTCCACTTTCAGTTGGGCACCGACGACCCCTGGCATCCGCCCAGATTTGACCTCGAGACGGACCCCTTTGAGTCCGTTTGGAATAAATTGAAGGTGAGTTCATTGTATCCTAAAGGTGCTACCTATCATATCATTGATATAAAATGAGGGGCTTGGAGGACAGGCCGCATAAGTGCAGTTTTTGAAAAAAATTGAGATATTAATGATTTCAATAAAACCTATACTTAATGCTGATTCTGTTAAAAATTCGCTCCCTAATTCCAATTTTTAAGCATCAAAAAGTCAGTTTGAACTTTCTCTCTGCCATGAGGATCCATGCGTAATTTCGAAACTTCAAACACGTAGGTATTTTAATAGCAAAAACTGCACTTATACGCCTTGTCCTCCAAACCCCTCAAATGAACTTCATTTTGCCATGGAGGATTTGCACTTTTGAACTTTTTTATTGCTTTATCTGAAAGTGCTCGAAGAGCTGATCCCGCAGTATTTTTTATAATTTGTTTCTGATATATGATAAATAGTATAGTTAATTAGTTAGTTAATATATTTTAAGACATTCAGCGTCACAGGCTATTAACGTCTTTACGGAGAATTTTGAAAATGGGTGTATATGCGAAAGTTTAGATTTGAACATATGCTTGAAAGGGAGAAAATGCACCGCCTAGTGACGTCATCTGGCGGCATTTCTCATTCAAACATATGTTGTAGATTTGGTTATTTTGCCACATCTCCTCTAAAAAATTTTCAATTTATAAAGCAATGGTATCCTCGTGCTCAGTTTACTCAGTAATTTCCCCTTAGGCAAAAAATCCATCAAATTTCAGACATCTGCAAATTCTCCATAAGAATCTACAATTTCTGGATCATTTATAAAAACACTTACGTGCATAGGGAAACTAATGGCACATACGCTGTTCCTTAAGTATGCCGGAGATTGCATTTTCAAATTGCAAAATGTAATCCAAATAATATTCGTGACAACGAATAGCTCGTTTTAAGAAGTGCCCAATTCCAGAAACAAAACAATCCTGATAAGGACAAGAGAGTAAATACATCCGAACGTTTTCGTTGAATTATAGGAACTGTTGTGACATGAGTAATTCAGCTCCGAAGAAAAGTCATGTTCAGGGCAGGATTTACCTACTTATCGCCTGTATTTTGATGCCCCCTTCTCATTCGTTTTGAAACATCAATAAAAACCATCAAGTGAACGTGCCAGCGGGAAGGATGCAGAAGACGCGTTTACTTGTGTTGGACACATTTTGTGGGAAAGCCGTGTCAACACTACTAGCACAATTTCACGGAACTTGCGCGAAAGTTAAGTTCCGTAAACCTATCTCTGTGTGAACAAGGCCTTCCATTCATAAGAAATGAGCGACAAAATTATGAAAGAACAAACATAAATGTAGTTTAATGATTTTAACTTCCGCCGCCGCGCCGCGCCGCGCAGACTGCACTGTGTTTGGCGCAATGCTTGAAGTATTCCAACAGTCTTGAAGGCGCTAAGCGTTTCACGCTGACCGCACTGTCTTTGGCGCAATGCGTTTTAAGTATTCATGCATTCTTGTAAGCGCTATCCGTTTCACGCTGACTGCAGTGACCGCACTGTATTTGATGGAATGCGTGAAGTATTCGTGCAGTCTTATAGACACTAATATGTGTTACAGCTCCGAGGGCTTCTCCTTTTCATCTCAAGTCCTCCTCAACATTTCTCTCTAAGTCGCGTTCCAGGCCAAATTGCGTGTTTGATTTCTCTCTTTACTCGATTAACTAAAGGTGCTGTCTCTTGTATCACTGAAAGACGACAAAATTAGAAAATACTATACTATCAGGAAATGAGAGATTTTGTTGCCTTTTCTCGTTTGTAATTTTTTTTTCTAAATTCGATTTTTTTTATACATACATTTAAAAAAAATGCAAAATTTGCCGCCCCTTAGATTTGCCACCATGGGCCGCGACCCACGTGGTCATCCCCTTAATCCGGCCCTGGTCATGTTACTAAAAATATGAGGCTTTTCCATCCTTCAATAGTGCGAGGAAAATGTAACCGTTCTTGAACCTTGGCACTCGGGCACTTTTCTAAACGAACGAAATTCATGCGTATTTTTTCAATGTAAAATGAAAGCTTTTGAAAAAAAATCTAGGTGGCGGTATCCACCCCGGTACAATCCTAAGGAAATTCCCCTTAAAAAGTTGACGTAAGAAAAAAAAAGTTAAAGTTAAAGGTAACGTTAGGCTGCTGCCTAACTAGATACACACGTAAAAGGTACGCGTGAACCTAAACAATTTTTTCGCTCAATAAAACTGAATTTTCATTTTTTTCGAGTTTGGCAGTTTTCAAAGCAAGTGATAAATTGCGATAAGGACAACTTCAACTTCAACTCCTTAAAGTTGAGACTGTAACGGAGGAGTCGCATGTCAGTGTTGGGGGTCCATCTCCGCAATTGATCGGATTTTCCAGGCATAAACGAGACAAAGCATAAATGAAATGAAACTTCAAATCAATGAAAAATTTGTTTACAAATCTCTACTCCCGGATTTGTTCATAGGAATTTGCCGCGGTTTCGTGATGGCTTTATTGAGCTGCACTGAAGGCTAAATACTTTGAATTGTTTTTAAATGATACTGTGCCGGAGTGGGGAATTTTACACGTGCAAAGACCTGAAACTGAGGAATAGAACTTTGCTGCATTTCAAATCGTTATTTTATTTACACAAGGAAAAACTCTCCGGTTCAATCTTTTCAAGTTGACTCGAATCGGTTCGAAAAATCTGCAGTCCATTACCCAATCTGTATCTCTTCTGTATGTCTATCTCATGATGAACCCGTTCTATTTCCCCCTTTTTAATACTTTATGTCTACTTATCAACGTTGAAACTGCAGGAACGTGCGTCTCGTGTGATATGTCTGAAAATCTCCGCTCCCATTTTATTTCATCGAAGAAACATTAAATAAGCATAATTCCTTAAAATCTCCGAAGAATATTTCTCCGTTAGACTCAGAACAGAATAAACAGGAATGTTTCAAGCAGTGGCGTGGCGTGAATTGCGATGTATCGATTGTTATGCCATTAAAACCTATGGTAAAGAATCGATTATTTACGTGCTCGCTGCGAACACCCTGTCTATCGATCCTTTTCCATAGGTTTAAATGACATAACAATCGATATATCGCAATTCACGCCATGCCACTGATTTCAAGAAATAATGTTGAGTACTTTTCCAAAATAAATTATACCATGAAGTCTGCAGCGTCAACCAAGTTACGCGTGTTTGCAGTATGCAGTTGGTATCTCATGAAAGAGGTATATCGACGGTGAAACTACCAAACCACGTATCTCGGTTTGCGACGTAGCAGACTTCCTGTCATACTTTATTTTTTAAATGAAAAACTACTTAACGTTCAGTCTTGAAAATTTCTGTGATTTTTCTCTTCGTGCGGAGAAAATTCTGTGAGAATTTCAAGAAATGATATTGATGTGGTCTACTTCAAAAAAATAAAATGTGAGCGTAGATTTTTAAACATCGCAAACGAGATACGTGGTTTGGTAGTTTCACCGTTGATATGTCACTGTTATTATGAGTTACTCCTCAGAATTAACGCTCATTCGTGTGTATTAATGAATATGACTCATGTGTGACGGTGTGACGCATTGAGCAATCCGTTTTGAATACAAGAACTAACTTGATAAAATTTCTAGACGAATTAAGAGAAGAAAATGCAAAAATGACTGCCGTCACTCATGAGGAAATGTTGGGTATCAGTGTGTAACTTTTTCCACGCCTATTTGCATTTCTTGGATACTTAACGCGAGTCTGTGACTTAAGTCGCGGGTCAAGGTATCGTTGAACGCGTAAGACTGCTTCTAGGAACCGAATAAGCGAAAACGGAGTTTTGGATAGCACCGCTCAATCTATAGCGCTCCATTTAAAAATTAATATTTCCGCATTCTGTAGAGATGCAAAGGTGGCGTTCTTGTTGTCATTCAGAGTATCCTTATTGGTTTTCCTGTCGACGTTCGAAATATTGAAATAAGACTACATCGGGCTCTTGCAAATTTGTCTGCATTTTTGACTTATCGTTCACGTCCAATGTGATTATAGCTCGATGGTTAAACTAGGAAATAATGCATTTCAATTATCGTGGCGCGCTTCTGGGTATTTTATTTTTTCAAAGAAAAACATGTAAAATTTATTTGGCAAATTTTTTCATAAAATATCCTTCAAACAGATTGAAAAAACACATTATTTTTTTTAAAAAAAAAAAAAAAAAACAAACACCTTAATTGATTGTCAAATCAAATGAAAGCATGACGCGTAGTCTAAAATGTTGCAGATGGAAACGATTTTAGTTACCTTAATAGGCATTAGACTGCATTTTTGAGAAAAAAAACAGAGCTAGGAGTGATGAAACGCACTTTAGAATGCAACTTCGTGTAAAAGATTGAAAGTGCACAAGCTTAAAAGCATTTCAATGCTTTTGCTCTCTGGTTCCCACATACAGCCCCAAAGGTAAAGAGCCCAAGAGTAGAGATAATGGATCAGTCTCGGAGCACATCACAAAATCATTTTTAGATTATTTTTCTTTACTGGGGGGAGGGGAGGAGGGAGGGACGGAACCCGGTGGCGGGGTCACTCGAATCTTCAGATTTGAGAAAACGTCATCAGCCGCTGTAATAAGCGTCACCGATGCTTTTCCGGGTGTGCATTGAGAGCTCATATTTGGAGAGAAGAAAGGGGCACATAATTACGGTGTCTCTCGGTTGGATGCAATTATTCCAGGGCAGGTGCTTCTTGGCTCCGAACCGAGAGCTAATCAAAAATTGAATCAACAAAGTATATAAAATTTATGGGGAATTTCCAAGTTCAAAGGATAGTTTGAAATGTCAAGGTTGACGAAGCGCACCAGTAGGGGAACACGTCAAAACAATAAAGGAACAAGTTCTACTCCACGGAGCCTGCGCTTTGCGATCAACAGTCGGAGACCTGCCCGACTGTGCATCGCCTCGAGGGTCAACCGTGTCAAACGCATAGTGCCGTACTTTTTGCTCGTCTTTTTTCTACAAAACAGGAATTCTCTAGCTATCATTTCCTCTAGCGGCTTTATTTTTTTTTTTGGGGNGGAGGTTGTGAACGGTTGATGAAGATATTGCGGAAAAATGTATAATCTAGGAGGATTTGAAATGGACCGCGTCAAATAGAAAGGAACCAAGCCACATCAGCTATTGTCAAATTTAATTGGGAAATTTAATTTTTTCTATGAAAATAGTTGTGCGGATTTTTATGCAAATTTCAGAAAAATTTCTGCGCAGTACGAGCTAAGTAATCCCTTTAAATTATCAAAATAAACCGGAACATCGTGCTCCTGTAAAAAATTAGTTAAATTGACAATAGCTGATTTGGTTTGGTTTCTTTCTGCTAAACGCAGTCCAAATGGAACAAAATTGGACCATTAATAGAACTAGGCTATGGAACAATTTTATGGGGACGATAAACCGTGCTCAATCCCCATGTGAAAATTAGGAGTGGTCAATGTTCTCCGATCAGATCCGAGTACAGAGAAAAAAAATCGTAGGTCTTGAAATACTTATCCAGATCCTCCTACTTTTCTTGTAGTAGTTGCAATGCAATATTACTTTTGTGGTACCAACTATTTCGGTTCCAGTAACTTTGCAGCTTTGTTTCCGTTACCGAAATAATTTCTCCTTTAAAAATAATACTGTAACTATGATAAGAAAAGTAGGTGGGACCTGGAATCCTCTAAAAACATTTGAAGATGAACGATTCTTTTTTTACTCTGGGAACGCTGATGTCGCAGTTTTAAAGCACACATACATCAGAGGAATATAGACTAAAGCCGGGAAAACAAACGATGCAGTCAATTTTGGTTTCAGATCAGTAGCGACAATAAACTGATGGACTATAACGCAGATCGGTGCTTGTTTTGAGATCAGTCCTCATAAGCTCAAGGAGATACTGATGAAGAGTAAGGTCAGTGTCATTTGAACTGGCTTCAGTATTTTTTGGCACACATTAAAGTGTTGTTTATGACGGACCTCAGTGCTAGAACTGCCAAATCTTCCCTATGAGGACTGATGCCTCTTGCCATTTTTATCCGCTAGAACCACGCAGTAGAGGTATTCAAAGTTCAACCAAGTTTTACCCTCTGATTTTTTATGAATTACCTAATCGATATTGCCTTACAAATTAATTAATTGCCTTTAATTTACTTTTACTAATCTGAGCATCCAAGAAAAATGCATCAATAATAATTTCAAGAGCTTTGTTCATTATTATCGTAATGTTATTGTCTGAGAGAGGTTTGCCATGATGATAAGCTTCGATATCATCGGAGAGTCTTTTGATAAATTGTTCAACAGTTTGTCCAAATTTTTCCGCTGAATTGAAATTCATTTCAAGGTCTTTCAAAATTTTCCCAGGGGGCAATTTCAACAGAGGCTTCAATTGTTCAGATGTATCGTTGGTTGTAGTATTCGTCTGGTGCACTATCGCCTGCATTGTCTGATAAAACTTGGTCCATTGTTTTGCCCTCTCTTTCACTTTGAAGAGATCATTAAACATGAGCTCGATTAACAGGATACCAGAGTGTATATCCTCGGAGTTTTTACATCTCTGAAAATGGAGGTAGAACAGAATCTAATTAAAATACTACTAGGGGCTTATGGGGCTGCTTCGCAGCCCCTTATTTTTCCTGTACACTTTTCACTTTCACATTTTATTTTTTTTTATTTATTTTCATTTAATTTTCTGTTTTGTCTTTGAATCGGGTCTAATTATTTCTTTGAGAGAATAAATATAACAAATGTTTTCAAAAATTGTAATTTTATTTAGTAAACTTTAAACTAAAATTTTGTTTTAATCTTCATACAAAATTATTTTTTAGGTTTTACATTTGTTTTCAAACTAATTTTAAAGAAGATCTTTTTTTATTTTTTAAATGCATCCGGAATGCAGCTGCATTCCGGATGCGTTAAGGGGTGGGAAGGAGGGAGGGACGGACTGAGAAACTGAAAAAAGTACGTTACGTAACGGTAAATATTAAATAAACTTACATATATATGGATCCTTGAAATTTAAAGCAATAAGGTCCATCACCCGGAATATCAATTCGATTTACAGAGAAAGAGGCAAAAGCAACAGCACTATTATAATTTCTGATATGCTTTATGAAATTTGGAGAATATAAAAATAATGATTTCAAATCGGTATTTGTCCGAATACTCGTTAAAGAAATTAAGCCATTTTGGCAGCAGTTATTAAAATGACCATTGGACATGTCACCCTGAAAATGGCGAGCATCACAATGATGACAAATTATATTCATTGAACCGACTGAAAATTTGGTAACAAAATTTTCATCAAAGTTCTGATCATCAATTTTATACTTCCGAAATGAAGAAATGAAACTTTGATTTTCTATACTAATAACAGAGTTAAGTTCTTGCTTCACTAAACGAACATGCGAAGAATTCTGGAAAACGCGACCACGTTTTGGAGGACGACCGCCTCGGTCATTGAAAATTTCACTCATAACAACTGTTAAATTTAAAATTAAAATTAGTAAAAATTATTATTATTTTAACAAAATCATAACTGAAAAGTTCAATTTTTAAATTAAAAAAAATAAATCAGAAGAAAAAGGATGAAATGAAAATGGAAATTAATAATAAACATATTTATACACATTGAAAAGAAACAGCGTGAAAAGTTCTGATCGGAAATGAGAAAAAAAACTTGGAGGTTATTGACTTAATGAGGAAAAATTGGCAATAGGAAAAAGATGGAACCAATCATGAAAAACCGTAAAAAAAAAAACGCGGGAAAAGAAAAATGTAAGTTGATGGCAGTTGAGTGTTGGAAGTAACCTCACTTAATGATGATTGTTGAATGAAAACAGCTGATAAAAAGACAGCAAACAGTAAAGTAAGATGCGTAGCAACAAAACTTTTCCGAAAAACAAAAAACAAAAAACCCCCACTTCCCCTCATCCAATTTATGAGTTTTTAGGGATTTAAAAATCGGGGACGAACCCCAGAAAATAATTTATAGTTTTCCCGAAGCATTGAGAACAACACCTTTCAAATGAACCAACGCCCCTCGCAATTAGTACAGTGGTTGATTCACAATTTCATTCTATTTTTCAAATTAAATATTAAGATATAGGAATGAAGATAGGTCAAATCATTCATTTGAGGGTTCATCAACCAAAGTGGGTTCCGGCATAATATTTGTATCAAAATCACACTTACAACTTAGTAACATAGATCTCCCTGCTTGATTCTCGCCCTCCTCAAGTTATGTTTGGAAAATATTACCTTCTAGTAATGCTAATAATTCTGTGGCAATGTTAATGATAGTCGTTGCTTGTAATTTTGAGATGCCAAACTTCTGATCTGATAAGTTACTGAATGTCGGAATCAATATTAATAAATTGTATAGGTAATCATTTTTGAAACTCGCACGTAAGTCTAAAATCATTGTTTTCTCAATCTTTTGTTCAATTTGATGGTCCTAAGAATTTTACCGAACCTGTGCGCTTTGTCTTATTTTTTAATGCTCTCAAGATCAGAACATACGCCGATTCCGTTGAAGAAGCCGATCATAAAATACGTATCGCTTTAGGGGTGGGACTCTAGGTCGGGAGATCTCTGGAAGGATAGGAGACAATGGCGATTGGACGTCGCAGAGCGCGAGGCTGCGCTGTGAAAGCGCTTTATGCATGTAGAAGAGGCCGGGAGGGTCTAAACTTCCGTTTTAGGTGCGTCACAGTCGGGAGGAAAGCCTTGCTGGGCCGCGTTACGTATCAATAGAAAGAGCGTGTAGCACCGATTTTTCGAAAATGTAAAATGAAAAATCAATGTAAGGTGTCAATTTTTCATCCGAAATTATTTAAAACACGCCAATTTGAGGGGGAATCAAACTGAGCGTTACGTGATTTTTTAGGAAGAGGTGCAGACCTGTATCCTGTGTGACGGATGTGAAGGAAAGGGGTGTCGAAAAATCCGATTTTCAGCGTAGCGTATTTTATGAATGGCCTCTAATAGAAAACCATATTTATTTTATCTAATATATCAATACTCACCAGTGCATCTGTTTGGTTCCTCAGCTTTTCTGTGAGTAATTTATTATCACCCCTAAAGTCATTTAAATTCCCACGATAATCCCTTATCGCTTTTGCATACTCGTCGATTTGTCGTGTTTGATTTTTAACTGTTTCTTGTTCTGCTCGCAATGAATTCCTCAACCGTTCCACCCTCATTGACATCTGCTTCTGTAATGATAGGTAATAAAAACTTTCTTGTTAATTGAGATTAATTTTTTGTTACTACATTGGTATATTTTCCTTTAGAAAAAGGAAACCCGTCCATTTCTAGATAAGTTGTCAACACCCTATAAACGTCGCCTCTTCGCTCATGAGTAAAAAAAAAAAATAAAATACAAAAAACCATTTGAATTGCTGAATGTTTTTTTCGGATTTGCCATGAATAGAGTGTAGGTTAATTTCAAGTGACCACAACAAAAAATTAAGTTTTTTCAATTCTTGCTACATGCTACATTCAATTCTTCAGATGTGAAACGTTTCAAGCTTTTTAGAGAAGATGGTAGGTACATGAATGCTCAATACAAATGATAAATGTGCAGTACATTAAAACGAATTAATTATAAGGACTGCAGCATCTTAACTACTAAGGCATCCAAATGTGCTTAGAAAAATAACTAGCAGAATGTATGGTAGTCGATGAAACTTTTAGTCGCGGACCAGACTTTCGAAAAAGAAATCCAAAAATCTCAAATTTAGGTTTTTCCACCCTTATGGCCCCAGTAAGAAAATTTAAGCGAAAAAAGTTGATTTTGCTCCGTGTGTGGGAGCTCAAAAGTTCGCCGCAAAAATTGCATTGGTTTAAATGGGGAGAAATCAAACCGTACAAAAGATACAAGTCATCAGAATAGGAAATGATGTCTACAAATCTTTCGATCAAATATAATTATTGAGCTATCAAGCAAAAGAGTTCCTATGCGTCTTCTAAAACTGCGACCAGCAAAGTCTTCATTAATTACTTCAATAGGTACCTATCGATATGGCGACGTGCACTTTCATTTCTCACTTACCGTGGTATCTTTAAGAATAAGCAGTTTAGTTTCCAACGAAGTTGTATATTTTTTTACGCTCTCTAACGCATCAGCAGACAAGTTTTTCTGCTTCAAGTATTCACCTATCGCTTTGAAGTGTTTGTCTGCGGTCGATTTGTCCACCACGCCTTGCAAAACTATCATCCGGTCCTCGAAATTTTGCGTTTTATTTTTCGATGAACACGTCTGTACCTGAATGTGAAATACCCATGAATACAAGCAAATTTATTTGTGTAAACCACTGTAAATTAATTTCATACCACGAATTAGAAGGGACTTGCCATAATGTGATACGGATTAAAATGAAGGAAGCCCCCTTGAATATACTAATTCCTACTTCATACCAACAAAATTCAAAGGGTCTAGTGTAAGAGCACGTGCCCAGTGACTCTTTTGGAAAAGAACAAAGATAGGAGTGGATTCTAGTGTAAAAAAATGTTATCCGCGCGACAAAAATTAAAACTCCTCGAGGCCCCATGACAATTTTTATCTTTACTCTTTTGTATCTAGAAACCACAAACCTCCATGTGTAACTTCCATTCACGTAAACTTTCGATACGTAGCGTGGAAATAATACAAAAAGGTAGGTATCAAAAGTTTTTGTTTTTACTTATAAAAACAAAAAAATTGCTCATTGCCTTTCGTCTCTTTCATTCTAAGTAAACAAACGAATCCCTTGCCCTATAAAAGTTGTCGTGATCTTTCTCGCATTTTTTCATTTTTTATAATGTACTTTCTCACTGAAACACATTCTTTAGTCTCCGACAGTGATAGCAGGTGTCCATTTACCTCTGACGAAAAAATGAAGCAGGCTTGAGAGGGAATCTACAAACGTGATGTAAACACTTGTTACCTCGAATTTTTTTGTGATTTCATCTGTTCATTAAGTGCAAAGTGTGAACTTTTTTTTTTTATTGAAGTTGTAGAATTTCACTGAAGCCGTGCAAGACGTTAGTTAATAGAAACAAGAAACATGCACAGAAAATTGATGACAGAGTCATTTTTATTTAAATTCTTAAATAAACGCTAATCAAAACCCGATTACGAATCAGATACGAATAAATAGTAATATAACCTACCAATGATGGAAATAAGATGAATAACTCTAAGACACTCACGCAAGTCATATTTATCTCTTTAACACACTCATACACGTCACATTTATCTCTTTGTTTTTGTCTTCTTTTTCTTTGGAAATGCAAGTGATAACGTTGGATCACGAATGACGAAAATTGAAATTATTCTTGGTTAATCAATCGATCGATCTTCTGATGAGTCATATGCGTTGTAAACATCAAGTAGGTACAGCTCCAAAAAATTTGAGCGCTCTGAAAGGGACGTAAGCCATAAAGAATTTTATGACGTCATTCCAGTACAAAGCACGACATAGTTTCTCTCCTCTTGGTTTTATCAGTGATAAACATTATAATTTACAAATTGACCCGACCATCTCTTCTGGGGAAGTTAAGGATGCCTGTACATACGAGCTTCAGGTATAAATCTATAAATGCATTGTACAAAAATCGAGTGTGAACACAGCTGAAGGTAGGACGGACGTATCCCGGCCTTATTTATTTTTTTTTTTACAATATGTACGACACTTCACATGTAGCATCGAGCGGAACATTGCGACTTCACGCCTCGCGCCGTAGCGCCTTCAATTTTGCAGATGCAACACGGACATCCATCACGCACGAATAGTTGTATCTCTGTGCCGTTATGAACGCGCGTCCATTCCCTTGCTCTATTTCTGTGTTGTTCTGGCTCCGTTTGTCTCATTTGAAATGGTGCTTCGAGGGTTAATTGTAGGTTGTAGGTGGCTGGGGTATTATTGAAAGAGAACAAAAGGTGATGCTACTGTGTCGATGCAGCAGAAACGCATGTTTGAACGATGACTTGCTCGGGAGCAATTTGAATCGATCTAAACAAATCTGTCTTTTTTTTCTACTTTTATAATTTATTTACTCAAAGACTTCATACAATTTTATTAAGTCAATTTTAGAACTGAAATCACATTGAAGAGGTGTGCAACAATGTTACTCGCAAATGGCGGCTTGCAGAAGGGTATACATTTGCGATAGTGCATTCAGTCGGACTCACTATGTGCTAACGCGCGTTTCTCAATCACAGGTGTACGAGCGAGTCGTGCTTTGCTCCCGAGGTTCACATAAGTCGCAATGGATGTTGGATGACGATTGGTCATCAAAATTATGACCATTTATCGGTTTGTGAGATAAGTTATACCTACCTCCCTTATTTCAGTAGGTGGCTCATTTTATCGAACATGTCACTGAAGGGTGATTGTCGAGGATATGCAGAGCAGAGGCGGGTCAAGCAATTTGGCAACAAAGGCTTTCCTCCATTAAAAACTGTGTTGAGAAATAGATTCTTGTTGAGGTACCAGGCCCCGTTGAGAATCGATACATTTCCGTCTGATTAATGGAAGAATAAAAAAGGTTGCCAGTTCGTTGAATCCGCGCATGATGCAGAGGCTGCTAAAGTGCTGTGTAATGTTTGTACCATTATTGCATTTACCTCTCTGTAAAACGCTACTCGGGACTCTACTATACCTCTACCTTCAGCAGTTAAGTTTCAATAAAGTTATACTTAAAAAGAGTGGTAAATTAATGGCTCTCAAATTGTTCCTGTTAGGTCACTGAAAGAAATCGAGTTAATAAATTAGAAATATTTGCACCATTGATAGAATATTTCTGAACTATCTAAGGGCCCAGTACTTAAATTGCGCAAAAAACTGTTGACTTACTAAATCTGCTAAACCTCTTGTGTTTTCACCAAATGTCCAGACAGTAGGTTCAAATTTTTTGCTAATCTACAAAAAAAGATAAAGGACCCGCAGCAAAACGTTTAAGGCACTTCGCTTCGTAAATAATTTGGAATAGCAAACATTTTTGAAGTGGGTTTTATTCAATATCTTAGCTAGAAGTTGATTTCAGTAGTTTCTGTTGCGCGAATCATATTCTACATGAATTTCTAGGGAAGAATCATGTATTAGAGTGCTTAAATTCGTACCTTGTTTTATGGTCCATTTAACCTAAAAAGGTGAACATACAGCACTTTCCTAACTTTTTTCAGAAAAAATATTTTATCGGGAGAAACGAGGCAACGTTGGAATGCTCATACGGCGTCGAAATACAATATGGGGCTTTTAAGCCCCATTGTTCGATACCGCGATTATCCTATCGCGAGTTCGAATAATCGCGCCGAACACGGTGCGGTCGGCGTCTAACTCATATCAGCGCCTGCAAGACTGCTAGAATACTTCACGCATTGCGCCAAACAGTGCGGTCGGCGTCAAGCGCATATTAGCGCCTACAAGACTGCATGAATACTTCTCGCATTTCACGAAACGCAATGCGAGAGTCATGTGAGTTATTTGCAATAACTATTCAACCACGCGTATAGGCACATTGCCGCTAGCTGTGGTGAAGGTGCATCTCGCTGTGAAGATGACTCTACACTCGTCCGCGCTCCCTTCCCTGGCTCGAGCAACGTTAAAATCGCCGCAAAACTAGGACTTTTTTTTGACGATCCCTGCCCGGTTTTTACCATAATTAAAGGGTAAATATGCATCTCAATTGCAATAATTCAGGAACTTAGACAATGTTTAAACTATGCAGGGATTCTGAAACTTGATTCGCGTAAAATTAATTTTGGTTTAATAAAAAGAAAACAGAACGAATAAAAATGGAAAACGAAAAATATCGCATCAAATTTTCGATGCTTATATTTTAGATCATTTAGGAGACTGGAAGGAAACTCATGAAAAAACTATGTGTAGCTTCATAAAAACATTTATTAAAAATAAAAAATCAAAGTGGTGCACAACGTTGCAATCAGAGATGAATACGCTTTCTCTCTCGTGCACCCGTCAGCTTTTGAATCCATTCATCTCTGAATTAACTTGAACATAGTTGTTCTGCTATTTTTTACGTGTAGTTTTTTTCAGTGGTTGGCGGCTGCGTAGCGGCCACAGACCCCTAGTTATATATAGTCCTGGGAATACTGATGCTGTTTTTTTCCCCCAAGGAAATTGTTTTTGTGCTAAAAATCTTCATTTAAGTGTCCAATCAAGTGTATGACGGTCAATTTTTTTTGGAGGGGGGGGGGAATAAAGAAAACTTAAAATTAAAAATAAACGTAGGTAAGCAGATCTGAAGATGGAACCAGAATATAAGAGAGATCTAAAGTTTTCTTCATTCGTAAAGCTCGATTTTAGATACACTTACTAACAATTTATTTAAACTAAAAATATGTTTACTCGACTCTCAATCTTGAGAGGAGAAAAGGTGCCCTCAGTTGAGCTTCAAAATATTTTAGACTCTCTTTTTTCAAATAATGGTTTGCTTTTTCTACTTAATACGATCCGTATGCACATACGTAGAAATGACAGGGGCATCCTAAATCATTTTGAGACTAGAGGGATCGAAAAAAAATTTATATAGTCTTGAAAAACACCTCTTAGAGAGATTCCTTGGCTCCTAAAAACCATTTAGCTTCATCTCACCGTTTCGGCAAAAAGTAGCGATTGCCCGCAACTCTCCTTAAATATGCGAGAAACCGGCATGATAGAGATATAAAACCAGGACTAGGAAATATGATTCCGTGTTTATGGAAAAAAGAAATCATAAAAACTACAGCACAGGGAAGTGCGTCCACTCACGGTGAACATGAAAAAATTTCCTTGTTTATTGTTCATTCGAAATCTGCTCAATATCTTTTCTATAATTAGGACAAAAACGTAAAAATATAATGAAAATAAAAATTACGGATCTAATTATTAAATATGATTCCGGCTGATTCCGTGCTTTATGTGGCATGATAAATGTTCGTAGAAAAAATGATTTCACAGGGCCGTTTTTTATCTTCATTAACATTCTTTCCACCTGCGTTTTCATGTGAGTGTGCATTTGCGTGTGTATTAGCAATGACTGAGTAATACATCTGCGCTTACTCGAGCAGGTCACAAAGTATTTAGATGGGTGAATATGAATAAATACTTATTCATGATAAAAGTCTTACTTTGTATCTATTGCAGCTATATACGGAGATAGATCGGAGACAAATTAAGTGCTGAATTGATATTTATATCGATGTATTAAGCGCACCTGAATTTAAACATTTGTGTTGGTAATGCTTGCATTTACACATCTATGGTAAAATTTATAATTGCGAAGTTTGTCGCAAATCGAGTCTCTTTTCGTTGTTTCGTTTATAACGTTTTAATTTACAAGTAGAGAAAATTTTTAAGCGTAATAATCGAGATATCTATGCACAGGATGATACCAAAACCACATTTTTTACTTACTTTCGACGTATAGGTTACCGCGGACGCGGTCTGACATTCCATTATCGAGTGGCTGCTCCATCTGCCATTGAAACTGGGCCCAAAATGAAATATGAATGTATATGAATGTATAAGGGTGTATGTATGTGAGGGTGTGTATGTATGTGTATGTGTATGAATATGAATTTATTGAAAGGCATGCGTGATTTTGGACGCCCAAAAATGATATCGGTTTTTAACCCCCCCCCCCCCCGGGGAAAAGAGGATGTCACATGAAAAACAGTGTTTTACTGATAACTTTTGAACATTAAGATATCGAACTAATTTTTTTTGAAAAAATTAAAGGTCGTTAAAAGAGCTCTCTCTTCGTGCATGCTTTTTTGTCATTTAATTCTGTATCATCAATGGCAGTTAAAACAATCTCTTTTATTTGTTCATCTTCAAATTATTTCGAAGTTAGTCGGTTTTAATTTTTTAAAATTTGTTTTTGTTCACAGCCGTCTGGTGAGATATCAATTTGGAAGAGAAATTACTTGTATTACGGTGCTTGTGTACCGGCTTCTTGTACTCCTAACGACGTACTACTCACCGTTAAAGAAATGATGAGAAACTATCCGATCAGTGAAAACATCACGGTGAGTCTGGAACCAGCTCAGTGCCAAACCCGAAAGTCAATCACACAGTATAAAGAATTTTCATCTTTCGACATCCTAATCCTGTAAGTAGTACGTATACAGATATTATATATATCATTTGTATAATGATGTTCAAAGGTATAATAAACATCACTATAAACAAAAACCACGTGTCTGCATTGTAATGTTTTAAAATGTTCACAATTTTTTTTTTTTTTTTTTTTTTTTTTTTTTTTCAGAAGGCAAACAAACCCACAAGAAGCTTGTTCTTTGATTTTTCTCAAGTATTCCATGATCGTCGAGTAAATATTTAAATATTTAAATTATAAGGATTAGTTTCTTTTTCATCGAAACTACATGCATAAAACGTTCGGAAATTTTGTGATTGAGATGCGTAATATTTTGGAGCTCACTCATCGATTTTGTGACGATGGTGGTTATTAGTGGGCGCCGATTGGTTTAAGGAAATGCACGAGTGAATGGTTGTTAACGGAAATGAACTAACTGGTTCTAATCCATTCATGAAAACATTTATCTTTAAAAGAAATCAATCCGAATAATTCATTTCTGAAATGAGGTGTAAATAGTTCATTTGTGCTAAATACCACCCGAGAGAAAATGGAGGGAACACCAGAAGTAAAAAAAAAATAAATACAGTATTCAGATTAAATCTTTAGGAATAACATAAAAAAGAAATTTTTTTAAAAAAAAAGAGTTTATGAGCTTCATGACCAGGGCACAATTGAATTGAAAAATAGACACCTTTCCCAGTTTTAAGAATACCTACTGTATCAAAATGTCCAGTGATTTCCTTTTAGTGAAATTACACAAGAACGGATATTTTGAAACACCTCGATTAGGATACGCGTTTCCGTAAATTTACTGTCGAAATTTGTCAAATATTAACAGATTTTTCCTCTTATTTTTCTTTCCAGATCTCTCCTCTTCGGACTAGCAGCTCTCGTTTTATACAGCACTGCGTATGATTTTTGGCATTACAGAAAACAAGAACAAAAGATAGGCGGTAAGTCCACCTTCTTCTATTCTTTTTCCGGGACCGCCTGAAATTTTGATCACCCAACAAATGACAATCAACCACAATTCGCACCTTTCTGCATTTCGTACTCCTTCGATAATCCCCAGTAGCCTTATTCAAGATTTGACTTTGCTTGGTTGCAGCAGATTCTCCCTCATTAGAAAACTAGGGGATCCCTTACCACATTTTATGGGCCTTCAAAGGATTGTTTCGTGGCGATAAAAACCTGTATCATGATTTGAAGTTCTATAACGGCGAGCTCATCTTGAGGTTCATACATACCTAATGCCAAAAAATTAAGGGAATCGGCACGAAAATGAAAAAAGATTACATAAGAAAATGAAACTTTGAGTGAAACAAAGAATTAGCTAAAAAAGAAATGTCTCTCGCTTCCGTTAGTTTTTGTATTATGGGATTTTCTGACACTCGGGGATATTCTTCTTTCAGGTGCAACTGAGCGAGTGCTGTTATGTTTTTCGGCTCGGCAAAATTTGCCAGACTGCATTATGCCGCGAAAAACCGTCCCGGAATTCGATTTCCTCTCTGGCACACGCACTCTTTTCACGATCCTTGTCGTCTATGGTCATCGCTGGAGGATGAATGTCCAAGCCCCACTGCATGACGTCACTCCATATGAAGAGGTCATAATTGTTTTCCTTTTGGACGCATTTAAGCAAATGGAGTCCATTTACATTGAAAGAGATTAAGTGCCGTAAAACCTGAAATCGGCTTCATGCTGAGTTCTTGTAAATTCGGCGTTTCGTGACAATATCAGGTCTCTATTTTACAAAAGTAATTGGTTTCAACCAGTCAGTGGATCCCTTCGATGCCATAAATTGCCGAAGAAAATAAGCGCAAAAGCCAGAAACGGCAATTTTTCATTGTTTTTTGACGTTATTGTCGTTTTTCTGAAATGAGCAAGGTTTCTGGAAAATTCGCAAACGGCAATTTTTCATTGTTATCTTGATCTCCTCTGCTTAAATAGGCTCAACCATACGGTTTGTGTACAGTAAAAGCATCAATTAGTCGATAATCTATTGTATTATGCTCACCTCCGCTTTATTGACCACTTTCTTAACCATGCGTTAAAGTCTCCAGATATACAGCATTAGGGGCGATTTTGCACGTTGGCAACACTGTTTTCCTTCATTTAAATCCAATGAAAATATCGATTTAAGGTACAGCAAGCTGACCCACCAAGAATCGATTGTTTTATGTAAAAAACGGAGGAAAAACAGTGGTGCCAAATTTCAAGAATCGCCTTTGTACAACATTCATGAATGGAAAAAACAGACTGAACGTGAAAGCTGTAGTACAGATACATAGATTCAGAGTGGGTCGCAAAAGGTCGGTAACATAACTATGATAGGTAAATGAGGAAATCGCATATGACTCAGCTATCGACATTGCAAATGTCTTACCATGTTTTACTTTCTTCTCATAAACGAAACTTGTATTATTTCAACGGGTCTCGGGTGATTTCGTTCTTTTTTTTCTTGTTTTCGAATGCTAGAAAAATTTCATTCAAAAATGTCTAGCTCTCATATCATGCTGTTTTCGATAATTTTATTAATGAGATAATTCTGTACAATCTGTATACTTGTTTATCAACACACGGAAACTACTTACAGTCAATTTAAAAAGAATTAATCTCCTCTAGTTACAGAAGGAACATGATCGGAACTTTAGCGATGTCTATGGAGGAAGTGTTTTCTAGTTTTACATTGAGAGAAGGGTTGCTTAGTTAAATACACCATCAATATGATTTGTAAGTATGGTAATCCCTGCAGGGTTGAAAATTACTTTGACTTCTCTTTTCTTATAGCTGTAAAACCGCAAAGTTTATCGTGATTATTGTAATCCACGTATATCTGAAAAAAAATAATGGCCATTTTATTTTATTCGTGTTTCAGAAAGCACGCGAATTCAGCGTCCTGATAACCTGCCTTATTGTTGTCAATTCCTTTTTGTCGATCAGTGGATTCCTAACTGGATACCTTTTCTACCCAGAACTTGAAAAGTGGGATGAGAGGAAGAAATTGAGCCTCAAAATCATTGTAGCCCCAGTAATCTACCGTCTTTTGAGGTAAATATTAGGTATTTTGATACTCTCATTAGAGGCAAACACGACATTTTTTAATGGTGGCATGCTAAAAATCTACCAATCTTGCCCAAATGCATATCGACGGTGCAAGTCGGCAATCACATAACTCGTTTGCGGTGTCTGAAAATCTCCGCATCTATGTTATTTTTTTAAAGGCTAACAAATAGACATGATTCCTTGAAGTTTTTGCAGAATTTTCCTTGCACATAGAAGAAAAATCACGGAAGTTTTAAAACATTGCCGTTGAGTAGTTTTCCGTTTAAAAAATAAAGTATGACAGGAAGTCTGCGACGTCGCAAACCGAGTTATGTGATTGCCGACTTTTACCGTCGATATGAGATGATTCTTGAAATTGATAGACAAAGCGTTGGACAAAGAGGAAAAAGAAAAATTCGGGCGATTCTATTGGTGGAAGCGGATGGTTGCAGTGGATGTAGGAAGTACGCACGACTATAGTGCAGGTATAAAATATTACAACTATATTTCATTTATAAACACGCATTTTTAGTGACCTATTCAATAATTTTTTATAAATCATAAATATCTAATCATGTGATTGAATATTTTAGTTCTATATTAAGTACACGTTGGGTTTATCTATATTATGATTGATTATAAGCGCACTGATAACTATTAAGTGAGAGGTTATCGTGTGGGTGTCTTACAGGGGAGGGTGCAAAATAATCGACAAGAATACTTTGCGTTGGACTTGAACGACCCTTTACACACAAATAGGATAATAATCACAGATATTTTGATCATTCCTCTTTTTTTCTCGCGTACTAAAGGTTCACGCCATTATATGCAGTGGTGATTTTGTTGAACCTCTCCATCCTACCGAAACTTGGCGAAGGTCCTCTATGGCCATCGATGGTTGGTAAAGAAGTATCAAGATGCTCAAAAACGTGGTGGACCAACATGCTCTACATCAACAATTACGTCCAAGCTAATGATATGGTAAGTTTGACCAAACTTTTGAAATTATTGATCACCATCGCACGGTGGCCAATGTTGCAAAATATGTACCTCGTTTTGTTACCTACCTACTTCTTTCTTACTTTTACATTTCATTTTATTAAAAAAAAACGCATAAACATCACTTCGAGGGATTTTTACTAATCTCTCCTTCTGCTGAATATTCAAACGATACTCGATCGATAATGTTAATTCCTTTCCTTTATAAAAACTAGGCATCCGTGAAGATTTTGAAAAACCGCAATCTTAGATACGTCGTTTTTGCATTCAGCAGAGCAAATCAATCTAAAGTCTGATTAAATGGCGTCTAAAACTTATTGATTTCATCATTGATTCATACGGAGGCACGAGCTCCGTTTAAATGTTTAAGTTTCACTCTTTTTATGTTGCGTTTCTGCATATGTTTCAGTGCATCTACCAGTCTTGGTACTTGTCAACCGACTTGCAACTCTTCCTTTTGGCTATGATACTTCTTTACATCACCAAGAAATCCGAAAAAGTTGGTCTGACCCTATTCGGACTGCTGATAAGTGGTTCAATACTTTGGCATGGAATATTGCTCTATTTGAGGAGTGACTTTGCGTATCTAACCGTCGATGAACAGTAAGTCTATACATTCATCATATAAAAGTGAGTCAAGTAGGAATACGATACCAAAAAATATATGAAGAATTTCGACCACCAGACAGGTTGAAAATTCAAATACCATGAGATATAATTCCTCATAAAAAGCTCACGTAGAGCGAGATGGACATGGTGATTTTTATAAAAATCAACTCACGAGCTGAAATTCTCTCTCCGAGAACAAGAATTAAACTCAATTTACGGTCGAAATTGATTTTGAAATAAGATTTACATCTTTCGACCCTCAAAATTGCCCACTCAGGGGCGTCCTTTGAGAGTGCCGCGCAACCGTCCCCCTCTCCCTCGAAATTTAAATTCGTCCTTTTTTTAAATAATTTTCGTCAATTTGTATCAATCGGGGCATTTTAAGAGCCTTTTTGAAAGTCTACCCCTTTTTTCAAGCAAATTTTGGCACCTCTGAACAACTTCTGCCCCCTCCCATTATTTGGCTGAAACCGCGCCTTTGATTGTACCCCATTATCATCGCCATGAAATAGCATTTTTTTTTTAAAATTTTCTCTCAAAACATTTACTTTATATTTTTCATTGCTTACTCCGATTTTAATGTTTACTTATTTAGATCGATGCGAGCTATTCCTGACGTGTACTACTACGTCACGTATTACATTCCAGCGCATTTTCGTCTAGCACCTTACATGATCAGCACTCTTCTCGGCTTGTTGCTCCATAAATGGAAGGACACCCCTTCTAACATTTCGACGGTACGTCTTTATTCCCTCTAATCTCATTCTTTTCAATGCTACATACAGCAGGTTGAGTCAGAAACTTCCTGTGTGAATCTCAAATTTTGATTTATTTGTTTCATCCCTCTCGCAATTTAGCAAAAATTAAAATTTTGCGTACCTCGTAAAAAAATCGCGTATCTCGTTTTGTAATTGAAAGTCAGCCTGTGAGTTTTTTCCCCAAATTTGAAGCATACTGTCGGTACCGCCAAGTTGTTCACGAGATTCAAAATATGACGAGTTACAAGGTGGAGAAATGATGCTGGGTCCACACCATTCCGCGAGGAAAACGAAGCTGAGCAGTTCCAAAAAGTATAATTAGAGTCAAAAAATATGTGTTAACTCTAATGAGTACCAGTACAAAACTGAGGGGGTTTTGTGCAAAACCCCCTTGTTTGACAAACTAATTTCTGTTTTCGACTTTCAGTTTGTGGCAGGAGAAAATATACGGCCAGTGGAACTCGAAAATATTCTTAACTCAAATTTTTTTCGAAAGTGTGGGTTGGTTCTTTTCTGATCAACTCGGTCCAATTAACACTGACTCTGGCGGAGATTCTACGAATCAACTCTCAAGCAGACAGTTGGCACCTCTAAATTATTGTTTGTTCTTTTTTGCTGAGTGTTTCCCAGTCGATAATTTCCGTCACATCTTGTGATTTTTTCAGCTCCAGGCAAACATCTTAGGAGCCGGTCTGGTCGTCTTCATGGCAATCGTCAAAGAGAGTGGGAACCTCTTTGCTTTATTGGAATACAGTCTCAGGTTCCATCGATTTGCCACGGCGATCTATGGATGTCTACACGCTGCACTTTGGTCGCTTGGCTTTTCTCTTCTAATCATGCTCAACTTCCGTAAACGGATAGGTAATTCTGCAAATTATTTAAATGAGTCACATCGGTCATTTCATAGGAAAATGGAATTCTGAAAAAGATGTTATCGGGTATTTTTTCCTTTTCGAAATAGAATCGTTCAAAAAAAAAGAAGAAGAAGAAGGAAAAATGCATTGTGTCCATGCACCCCACCCCAAGGCTTCATCGGAAAATAGGTTGAACCAAAAATTCTATGAATTTTGACGTGAATAATGAATATCTCAAAAAAAAAAAAAAAAAAAAAAAAAAAAAAAAAAAAAAAAAAAAAAATCGAGAGAGATAAAGGAGAGGTCGACGAATATTTGTATTATTTTTTCTTTTTTTGGTTACATTATTTTCTGATCGTAGATTGACAACCCGGAGCGTCAATTTCTCTGACTTTCTCTGACAAAAAATATCATTATTTTACATTGCATGTCATTGCAGTGGTACTGATTTCTCATCCAATATAGAAATCGTGTGACTTTTCAGTCAACGATTAAAATTGACCTTCCTCTAAAAAACGAAGAAAAGGGAAGAAATCTTAAAATCAGAAGAAGGATAGAAAGTGCAACCAAGATCCACACTTCCAAAGAGCAAACGAACCGTCTGATGGTGCAGAGTGAGTTTTAATTTTACTTACTATGAATGCAAGGTACAAATGAGCAATCATGTAATATCAAATTAATATAGCAACGAATTGATTCCTTTCCTTTTTCTTTTTCAGGATGGGCGATACTAATATTCAACTCTTATCCGTTTTTGATGATAAATAAATTGTCATTTGGTACATATTTGATTCACTCAATAGTTCATACTTACGAATATGCATCCTTACGTGTACCCAAAGTTCCTAGTCGATTTCATGAGGTAAGTGATGATCCTAAGGAATATTTACTTTTCGGATGAGTTTTTCAGTCAATATATGATGGCTTATTGTGAATGAATATATGAACGTCAATAAAAATGAACAAAATTGTAACTTTGAACGAAAGTTTAATCGATTTATTCAGAATGAGTGGGTAAAGTAACTATGACTGGAAATATCAGATCTTTCCGCTTAATAAATATATCCACGTGATACACTCTTCTGAGGACTCTGTGAAGAATTTTCCGAATACCACGGAATATGAGAGTAAAGGGGCTCGTCGGTCCTAGAGAATGCTTTATTAAATCTTAAATCTGTGCGAGAATTCCTTCCCCATTATTTCAAGCCAGTTCATGGATTGGCCGATTTTCCAGCTACTTCGCGGTATGGCATATGTAACCTGTCATTCCGTGCTATGGACAAAAAACTTCCCATTTCGCAGAATAGAATCCGTAAACGGGGCAAAACATTTGCATTATGTAATGGAAAAACATACTTATCCCACCAATGAGGTTTACCTTCACTTAGAGAGCAATGAGAAAGAATGCGATTTTTCCCGAATTTTCTGCAGGGAATTGCTGCCTCTCCTCTAACTTGTCATGGAAAGGTTTTATGGCCATAGGCATCGGTTACGGCTTAAATGTATGCAATTTTATAAAATCCTATTTGACCTACATCCTTCCAAAATCACTGCTTTGATGTCCTTCCGAAAAATCAAGTATACGAATCACAAATAGATTTTTGTAAGATTTGTAGACTTTTTGTGTTTGATACAATTTTTTTCTTTAATTTCAGTACTGGCTCACAGCAGGAGACATTGTATTCACAAACGCACTTGCCTTGGTTTTGTGTGTTCTCGTTGAAATGCCATCGAGTAAACTAGTCAAACTCTTGTTCTCCAACGCAAGGTAAGCATTTTCCTGTCATTAATGTCCAAAATGAGTGCAAATCAGTGCATGAACACGCAAAACAAATACATTTTTTGTCGCCATTGTTTCGAAATTCAATTTCCGTCCAGTTTTGAGCATTTGGTTGCGCGTATTCGACGCTGCAGCACATTAAAAGCACAACATGTGGATTGCATTTTGCAAAAAGGAACCACTAGAATTGCAATGATGCTAAGATTGTGCAACTTCATCTTTTGAAATAAAATTGCTGAAATCGTGAAAAACTATGAAATTTAGATGGTAATTTTTGTCTTAAATTGACAGTTTTTAGCGAGTAAAATAGAAACTATTAATGGATAATCAGATTTTTCCTCCAAGACAAAAGAAGTTGCACAATCTTAGCAGCATTGCAAAGCTAGTGGTTCCTTTTTGCAAAATGCAATTCATGTAAAAGAAAAATTAAAGTGCTTTGGAAATCATTACATTTGACACGAAACCACCTAAATATTTACAAAACACACATTGGGTTTTCCTTTAATACGTATTTTTTTTCCATCAATTTTGATGAGAATAATCCATGCAGAGTGTTCAAACATTTCATAATCTTGAGTCGAAAAACTTTGACTCCGTGAGTTTAATTATTTGAGTCAAACACAGCGGAGCGGCGCGCTGCCAGCACGAAACGCGCATTGGCGCGTACAAACCTAACAGGGATACTTCACGCATTGCGCAATGCGTGAGGTATCCCCGTTGGGTTTGTAGGCGCCAATGCGCGTGTAGCGCTGGACGCCCTCGCCCGCCGCTCCGCCGCGCTTCAAGCAACTGTTTCGCAACCAAGGTTTTGCACAGTATCATACGAAATTAAAGGCGCAAAGGCGCTCCAACATATTAAATATGACAGCTTACTTTAATAGTACGGAGCTTTCCTCGCAAAATAAATCAAGATTATACGGCACAAAAAGAGAGCGGCTGTTCAAATCAAAAACTTACCAAGTCCTACCATCCATATTAAATAACTTATAGCATAATTTTTGAATTTCATTAGAGAAAAAAGTGACTTGATTTAAGCAGAAACGTTCTTGAGTATTCCGTAACGAAGATTTTATTTTGAACCAAGAATAAAATCGCTGAATGAAAGTGGGTTTCTGCTTGATGTAAGTGACTTCTCTTTATATATAAGTATCTCTTCCTCTTTAAACAAGCATTATTTTCTTTACATATAATTCATAAGGAAATCTTCTCTGCGGTAAATTTAAGCCAATCGCAGTTAGAATCAAGTCACCTTTTTCCGCTAATGAAGTAAAAAAATCATGCTAAACGTTATTGAATACAGATCCTAGGACTAATTAACTACCGTTCTTTTTTTGTCACTCGATTTAATTTGTGAGGCAATTTCGTGCTTTTGGAAGATGTCATCATCATGATACGTTGAGGTGCCTTCAATCTCTATGATACTGTGCAACATCTCTGGGGCAAAATAGTAGCGAAGTACCGTGGTACGCCGCGCCAAAGCCGCGCCGTCGCGAAGATATCGTGCACAGGAAAAATCTGAGAGCCTTTAGCTGAGGCAAATCAAAAGGTTTATCCGGTTCAGGTATAACAAAATGGGATTTCCTTGAAAGATAATTAAGTCCTGTTTCACCACAGAGCGGTAGAGAGTTTTTCCACATAGAATTGACGCTCCCCCATTTTTACCAAAAATTCCAATTATATATTTTTCTCCGTAGGACCACACAAACAAAGAAAAAACAAGCAAACCCTCATTTTTCCAAGACATTATACATTTTCATCCCGAAAACTCGTAAGCCAATATCGTTTGTATTTACTTGTGAACCAATTAACTTGGGTCTCAATTGGTAAGTGGACCGAAATTCCCCTGCCGAAAAAACGCATGGACGTAAACTACTGGACAAAACAAGTGCGCGGACAAATAATCGTTGACGAAATGTTCTATAACCAAGGACAGGGAAAATGTCATTTTCGGATTCAACAGTCAAAAATATGAAGAGCCCGTTTCAGATAACTTTTCCTACTTCGCTACAGCATTCCGCACCCACCGCTTATGGCGAAAGAGGAAAAGTTATCTAAGACAGGCTATAGAAACAAAGGTATAGAGAACTTTTTTGCTTTTCCTGATTCGATTCGAAAGTTCCCTCGTATCGGTCAAACGGCAAATTATTTATCAGCCATTGCGTGTAATTCTCTCTTTTCTTGTGTGTGATGGCGTTATATTCTTCGGTGATTTTGGCTGCTGAGGTAGAAAATGTTACCTACTCGCACTTAATCGCAAAAATTCTATTTCTGTTCACATTGCTGGAGAATAATTTTCCGATGATCGCACTCTAGCCACTTTTTTCTGTTTTTATCACAAAAAAAACAGTTAAAAAAAAAAAAAAAAAAAAAAAAAAAAAAAAAAAAAAAAAAAAAAAAAAACAGTAAAAAAAAGGGCTAATCAAGACAAGTTAAAAACTTGAAAATCATAATATATGTGCTTTGTTTCAGACCTAAACCAGAGATTAAAGATCCACAGAAAATCTCTCGATTGGATTCAAACGAGAACTTGCGAGAGGATGTTAAAAACAACGATATCATAAAACATGCAGCTTCCAACGGAAACGCCAAAAATGGTTTCATGAACGGACACGCCAACAAGGAGATGGCAATGAGTGGAAAAACGGATGGTTTCACCCCTGATGAAAGGCACGAACTTACGCATAGAATTAGCTACAATAGGGTGGCAGATTTAATTCACGGATATGAGAAAAAAGAACTTTAGGCCTCTCAGAGTAACCGGATGGCCGGTTAGCGCCTGACTATTTTAATCTTGACTCCGAGGAGTGATATCATAAGCAGATCTCAATGTAAAAATCACCCCTTGTAAGTATCGAGACTTTATCGCCTCTTTGCTGAACGAACCTGATCGATGAAACCCTAATTTGAAATTTTATGTATCCGTAGAAGCCACTCGGCAAACTGTGGGTCGATTTTCAAAAATTGACCCGCTGCGGGATTCATATCAAAACTTCATTTCTCATTTGTCGAATGACTTAGATCAATAGCAGTCGAATCTGTATACTAGAAGTAACCAGACAATCATGTTAAATAAATGCATTGGACGTGGCTTAATGCATACTCCGCATTGTTACCAGAATATAGTGATTTGTACCGCGCGGCGTGACGCACCGTTTGCTCCCATATTTTAGCCGAGCAGACTAAACAGTTCCTAAGGGTGAAACAGTTGTCTATCCGTCCGATTGAGGGCAAATATACCGTTGCGCCATTGAAGTCTCGCTCCGTGCAGTACGCGCCTTCAATTGGAACAGTTTACCAAGGAAAGCATTTACAAGTCGAAATAGTTGCATACTCCTTTAAAATGAAGGCGTCCCACGATTTATGCTTACTTTGCCACCACGTTCTGTGGTGCGTGACGTTTTACCTCTTCATTCCGGCCAGGTAGCACAATGTAGCTCCCATGATACTGTGTGTAGGAATACTTACATCAATGAAATACCTGGAGATTGACATTTTCGTATTTTCAAAAAAGAAATCCATCTTGAGACTGAAATTCGCAAGATCGATGATGCCTGAAGTCGAAACTTGCGTATCGATGGCTATAGTACGACACCACGTATCTTAATTGCGGTGTTTCAAAATCTCCGCTCCTAGTTTACTTTTTCGACGAGGAATAAGTCAACTTTATAGCTTGAAATGTTTACAGAATATTCGACCAGCAAATAGGGAAAATCAAGGAAGTTTACAGGAAATTACGTTGACTAGTTTTCCAAGAAAAACATAGGACTAAAAGTTTACGACGTCACGAACAGAAACAAGTGGTCTCGCACTTTAGCCATCAGTATCGTGAGGTGTTTTAAAGCCTAATTCCGCCAATGCCTGCCACATTTTATTCTACTAATGAATGGTCGGCCGTTCTTGAAAAATTGTGCATTATTTCTCTCTTCAACTCAATGATACTCTTCAAAATTTTCATGCGAAAATATTGATGAGTCTTCGTGAAAATGTACATAAGCACTTCCTCATTCCGTAAGAATGCAAAAACTTTTATTTCTAGGAAAATTGAACCGATTATTTACCATATCTCGTAAGCGCCAAAATTGCGAATTCGAGGAAAACGAGAAGAAAACGTTTTATTCGATCTGATGACAATTTTCTAATTCCAAAAAAATGTATGTTCTTTTAGAAGGATATTTTGAAATCAGATATGATTGCATGCCAGAGAAAATTAAGAGAAAACAACCCCTCCACTATCAACATAGGGGTTAGTGCTTACGTGATTTGGAAAATAATAGGTTCAATCCCCCCCTCCCCTGTAAAACTACCTCAAGGGAGGTATGCATACGTGTGCAGTCATAAGAATACCAGCCAACGGTAGGTAGTCCGTCTCTGAGAATACTTTTTGACATTAAAAGGCTGAATGTAATCTAAATTTTTGGAAGAATATTGACTATCTTTGTACATAGAATGTTTAAAAAATAATTTAATATAATTGTGAAGCTCATTTTTTTGTGATGCACCGATGCTCTTTTGCAGGGTGCGTAAGTTTTCAGATGTGAATATTGCCAAATTATCTCCATTTTCATAAAGAGAGGATAAAACGGATCAGTGAGAGGTAGAAGCAATTCTTTCGAAAATAACTAGTCCGAATGGATCCGTTTCCCATTCCTCACCATGAATCCAAATCAGTGGCGTGGCGTGCTTTGCGATATATCGATCGATCTGTCATTTAAACCTATGGAAAAAAATCGATGAACAGAGTGGTCGCAGCGAACATCTTAATAATCGATTCTTTACCATAGGTTTAAATGGCATAACAATCGATACATCGCAATTCACGCCACGCCACTGATCCAAATCGTGAAAAGTTCCCAGCCGATTGAGTATCTTTTTTTCTTTACCATATAATGTCTCGCTTGGAAATGATGTATAAGTAACTTTGTTCGATGAGCGTTTACCATTAGATGTATTTACGTTAGATGATAAGTTGTAGTGTAATTATTTATTTCTTTGTGCCTAATAAACTGACCAAAATAAAATTCCCAGAAAGCCTTGGTATAATTTAAATTCCTAATGATCCGTAAGTTAACGGCATCGACACTCACGAGCGGTGACCGTAGAGGCGACCAGGCCCGCCACAAGGGGGGGGGATACTGGGACCCTGGTACCGGGGCCCGGGCCCCGGAGGCTGCCCCTGTTACCCGTGAGAAACCATTACGAATTCACATGCAACCAATGTTTCGGAAGAAACAGTGAAAAATTTACCCTAAAAATTTCGCAAAAGGTGAATAGATTTTCAGAAACAAGCTGGGGCACTGTAGAATTCTTCTTAAATTTTCAAAGAAGTATACTTCTTGGAAAATTTCTATCAATTTTCAAGATTTTTAGTACAGAGGGATATTTTTAGTAACTGCGTTTCATTTTCTTCCGTCGTCAGATGCTAGGGGTCTCCAGTCTGAGCGTCCTCGACTTCAATGGCTCATGGCTCAACTCCCTTGCCATAGACAAACGAAGGGGGAGTCCAGGGGGGCCTGGCCCTCATGGGATGTGGCGAGCCTGCATGAAGGCTATTTCCATTTGAATCTTCCGTCACATTCATACGGCGCAATGATACAACTATTTGAACTCTCCGGAATGCGTGACGTATCACGCCGCATTTGAAGGCGTTTACAAAACAGCTTAGTTCCGATACCCGGATTATCGATTTGCATAGTTCATATTCTTTTGTTATATTCCATACCACTCGTTTATTTTTAATCCTCGTAGAAAAACCACCCATTTGTAAATACAATTCAAGCTGAAGCGCACTTCAGCTATGCATTCACCACTGCAAAAATTTCAGAGGAAATCGACAAGCCTAGCGTGCATGGAGGCTACCTCCATTTAAATCTTCCTTCACATTCTTACGGCGCAATGATACAACTATTTGAACTCTCCGGAATGCCTGAGGTATCACGCCGCATTTGAAGGCGTTTTCAAATCAGCCAAGTTCCGATACATGGATTATCGATTTGCATAGTTCATATTCTTTTGTTATATTCCGTACCACTCGTTTATTTTTAATCCTCGTAGAAAAACCACCCTTTTGCTAAATACAATTCTAGCTGAAGCGTACTTAAGCGCATTCATGATTGCAAAAATGTTAACGGAAATCGTAAAGGCCAGCGTGCATGAGGGCTATTTTAATTGTAATCTTCCGTCGCATTTCTAAGGCGCAATGATACAACTATTTGAACTCTCCGGAATGCGTGAGGGATCACGCCGCATTTGAAGGCGTTTTCAAATCAGCCAAGTTCCGATACCCGGTTTATCGTTTTGCATAGTTCATATTCTGTTGTTATATTCTGTAACACTCGTTTATTTTTAATCCTCGTAGAAAAACCACCAATTTTCTAAATACAATTCTACCTGGAGCGCAGTTCAGCTATGCATTCACTGCTGCAAACATTTCAGAGGAAATCGACAAGCCCAGCGTGCATGAAGGCACTCCCGGCACAAGGCGGGGATACTGGGTCCCTGGCACCGGGGCCCGGGCCCATGAGGGGGCCCGCGTTACCAGTGAAAAACCGCTACGAATTCATATGCAACCCTTGTATCTTAAGAAAAAGTGAAAAATTTACCCTAACAATTTCGCAAAAGGTGAATAGATTTTCAGAAACACACTGGGGCACTGTAGAATTCTTCTTAAATTTTCAAAGAAGTATACTTCCTGGAAAATTGCTATCTATTTTCAAGATTTTCAGTACAGAGGGATATTTTTAGTAGCTGCGTTTCATTTTCTTCCGTCGTCAGATGCTAAGAGTCTCCAGTCTGGGCATCCTCGACTTCAATGGCTAATGGCTCAACTCTCTTGCCATAGACAAACGAAAGGGGAGTCCAGGGGGGCTAATTCCCAAGGGCAATCGTCAAATAAAAATTCCATGACACAACTCTCACCAAAAAACTATTTTTTTAGAAGTGCAAAATTCATTAGAGCGCTTAAAAAACCCATAACCTTTTTTTTTTTTTTTTTAAATGGCCATTGATTCGGACACATTTTAGCATATTGTGAGCAAACTTAATCTTGAAATTTCTCAAATTTCAAAAATGAGAAGCACCTCAACGAGCGTTAATGACAGCGCAGAGATACAAGTATTCATGCTCGATGGATGTTCTTGTTCATGGTAGGCGCGATGCCGTGAGGCATGAACTCGCAATTCGCCGCTCTATTTTGCTTGCGAGGTGTTACATATGTCACATAAAACAAACGGAACTAACACAATATTAAAATGGAGCAAGGGAAAGGATGCGTGTTGATGACGGCGCAGAGATACAACTATTCATACTTGATGGATGTCCGTGTTGCGTTTGCAAAATTGAAGGCGCGATGGCGTGAGGCGTGACTGGTCATGCTCCGCTGTATGCTGTCAATGAGGTGTCGTTCTGATTTGGGAGACAAGCTAAAAAAGGAATCCTGAATAGGTCTCTCCTATCTTCGGCTGTGTTGCTCATGCAGCCCCTGAAGCGCCACCACACATAATAAGACAAACAGAGCTAACACAACATTAAAATGGAGCAAGGGGAAAGAATGCGTGTTGATGACGGCGCAGAGATACAACAATTCGTACTTGATGGATGTCCGTGTTGCATTTGCAAAATTGAAGGCGCAATGGCGTGAGGTGTGACCGGTCATGCTCCGCTGTATGATATCAATGAGATGTCGTTCAGATTCGGAAGAAAAGCTAAAAAAGGAATCCTGAATATATCTCTCCTATCTTCGGCTGAGGAGACACTCAATTTTTTCCTCTTTATTTTAAAGTTGATGTCTGATTCTTTCTTTCTTGCACCATATCTCACTCCTAAAAGGGTGGTCAGGTCAATATGACTCGGACTGGGCATCAAAGGGCTAAAGTGAGCTATTAAAACTCAGATGGTTAAGTCTGCTCTAAGTTAATGGCCTGGACCAGAGTCTCATTATCATGACTGATGCAAGCTGGTCTGTTAGATGAAAGGGGAGTAACCATTTGCTATTAGTGTTGCGTATATGAGGACCTTTCTGACTAAACAGCGTATAGCGAAAAAGAACAGGTGTCAAAAATTCGTATTTAAAGTTTTCATTCATACTCAGGTCCCGGTGTGTCGACGGAAGTGAACCAAAATTTTTTTTTTTTCTTAATCAATTATATCCCTGTGGACTGAAATCCTTCTGAAGTTACGTTATAAGCTGTTTGCTCAGAAATACATTTCGAAATAGAGGAAGAATTTCAACGCCGTTTGTCACATTCGAGAGATCGACCAGCACGCGTTAGTTTGTAAAAACGTGGAGACAGTGGATCTTTCCTTTCGAAAGCTCGCAACCTGTGCTGTTCAAGGCAAGAGCGTCGCAATTCCAATGATGGTTTTAATGTTTCTGTAAACCCAAATGCTTTACTCATGGAAAATAATGCTTATCACCGTCGTACCTACTTCATTCTTTGGACCATTTCCAATACTATGAGTTCGTCACTCTGAAAATTTAAAAAATAAATGTGTATACTTTTTTCCTCCTAATGAGGATAATTATTTCTTAGAATATTGCTACTGTCCTCTCTTAGAGCGGTAGAATAATGGAGAATTTGCATACAAAATTTTTATTGCTTCATCTGAAAGTTCTTAAGGAGCTGATTTCACAGTGTTTTTAATAATTTTCTTCTGTTATGGGAGATAGTATTAAAATAGATTTAAAAGTGAGAAAATGCACCACCTAGTGACGTCTTCTGACGGCATTTCCCATTTAAACACATGTATTTAAGCAAATTAGATCATTTTGTCATATCTTCTCCAATAATTGTTCAATTCATGAACCAAGGGTATCCTCGTGCTCAATTCACTCAGTAGTTTCCACTTAAACACGAAATTCATCAAAATTCTGCAAATTCTCTATTAGTTTTTTAGGTTCATGCTAGTAGAATGCACAAAGTTTTAACTGAATTTAACTTCTTGAACATCGGACATATCTGACAGAAACTGAAAATCTTCTACTTCTTCTTATTCCTTGTGGACTTGGCATTTATTAAGACTTTTAAACAAAACAAATGAAATTAAAAAAGTATGAATTTTATTTACACATTTTCAGTAATTCGTACAATAATTACACAAAATTGTCTTATCATATTGTAACAATTTTCAAAGGAAAAGTTTGCAAGTTCCAGTGCGATGAATTTCTGATAATAATGTATGACTAGCTGTATTGAATTACGACAAAAACAGCTGATCTGCACTGAGATTGAGGCATAAAATCTTTAACATAAAAATAAGTTGTGTAAAGGACACAGAAGTAAGAGCTCAGAACAGCCCAGCAATTTTGACCGTAATAAAAGAAGTACCTCATAAGCAAAACAATCACAAAAAACTAAAAATGATTTACATAATTTAAGTAGAGAGCAGAGTATTGGTTCATCCACTTTTCTTCTTAGGAGGAAAAAATTTAGAGGAGTAAAAATTCTATAGCCGAACAATTCAATGCATGAAAAGGAAAGTGAAGGGGAAAAAATGAAAGGGTTTTCACATTTTGGTTCATCTCTCTCAGAAGAAATTCCAAGATACACTAGAGTTGTTAAAAAATTAAAGCCTTGACTGGGCAAGCTCTTAAAACACTAAGAAGAGAATTTCTGACAAAACTGATGGCACCAACGTACTTCAGGCCAAAATTACATGGGGAAATTTTTTAAATCCCAAATCCCAAGACTTTGCAGGAACTGCATTTTATGAAACAAGGTTTTACTTGCCTAAAAATCTGAATTTGACAAAAGAATAAATTCTAGATATTGTGCTTACTTTATATCTCGCGCATGTGTGACCATCCAAGGGAGAAAGAGCTGAGGGCCAAAAATCTTATTAGTGCTTCACAGTTGTTTCATGAACATTGTGGCGCGAGAAAATGCCCAAAAAATCAAATAATACTAGGGCGATAATGCTTGAGAAGTTTGCACTTTAAAAACAAAAGATATTATAAATAGCTTTCTATACATTTAATCTGCCATTATGCCATGCTTGGGGCACAAAATGTCAGGCTACAATAAAAATGTATGCCTCTAGTTGGCACAAGAATGATTGAGCCATCTGATTTGCCACATGGCAAAAATCCTCTCCTGAAAATTAAGTCTCCGTGCACTGAGGTCCCTCGTCTTGTGAATGGTCAGAATTGATTGCTTTTGCAGATTCAAAATAATGTACAAGTAATTATACGATTTGAAGTACACTGCTTTCACTCTTGGAGTAAAATAAAAGATCACAGATAAAAATGCATAAAAAGTTGTCAATTAAGAGAGAAGACTTGAATCCCAAACTGAATATTTGAAAATAAAATAAAAGAACAGATAAAACCACCATGGTTAAAATAGAAAAGGAACTTGTTTCCTCTTCTTGTACACAAAACTAAGAAATAATTCATCTAACTTGGTTTTCTTATCTATTTTACAGTAAGCTAAGTTGGGAATACAAGACCAAAAAATCTTCAATAACAGAATTCTAACGATAGTCAATCTACCAGAAAAATGGTCGGATGCATAATACCTTCGATAGAAAATTTTAAAACATCATGAACATTTGACAGGGATAAATTTGGCATTAATGTACATAATACTTACATATGTTTTTATTATAGACACTTACAGCTAAAAATAATAGTTAACACAGGTATCGAAGGACGTAGGAAGGTTGTCATGGATATAGAGTGTCCATGATCGTTTCGAAGGCTTAGCAATAAGACAAGGCAAAAGAAAGGTTTAAACTGTAAACGGTTAGGAGGTCCACAGACTTCAGTAGAAAAACTTCATTGTTGCCCTGTCCAAAAAAACTAAACTTCCCCTACTATTTTTATCAATGTCCTAACCAAAATGCATGCCAACAGCTAAAAAATAGGGTTCTCTTTCCTTCTGATAGTCAGGTAGGAGAGGTTTCCACATTAATTTGCTTTTTTGCAAATGATAAGCTGATGTTGTTTAGAAAGTAAAAATCATAGTTAATTGGTTTAAGCATAGTTAAGTCACTATTTAACTCATACATAATTTTGAAGGGCCTCTAAACTTATTAATAAAATAACAATTGACAAATAACTACAAGCAGGCACTGGAGTAAAGTTGTAGAAGGCAAATCTAAGATTACATAATTGGCAAGCATGAAGGACATTTCTTAAAAACCATTGTGATTGTTGAGACACACTGAAAAAAAAATAAATAAAACACACCTCCAGTGTTGTCTTTTCAAATGATACATCTTTCCTTATGTCTTTTCACCTTGCACTATCATGGAAAAAATAATTCCATACTCGAACCTAGAAGTTGCGATTTTTGGTGACATTTTACATTTGAGATGGGAAACAAATACTCTTATAAATAAAATCATAAGAGCAACGCATATCACATAATGTATAAAGGGCAGCATGCTTCGGGAATTGGACAGCGAAATGGTCAGAGGACATAGCCCCCTAGTTACTTTTATTTTCCAAAACTATGTGCGCCTAATCCTTGCTACATAAGGAATAACCTAGAAAATTCAAATCTTCAATGCAGACTAGTTTTGCAAAAAACAAAAAATACAAAGCCACATTTTAGAGGATGTACTTGAGACGCATATCTTTATTTTCTTTAATTTTTTTTTTATTTTATCTTTGCTCTACCAAGAATAATTTTCATAAATTTCATCTTGCAATGTGTTGTCCTTTAAAAAACGAAAGGAAACAATTCAACAGGATATTTTAAAGAATGCACTGAAATACATTTTTCTTCTAGTATTCAACACCCGTGATACTCTACAACATTTTATTTTGAGAATAAAATATGTATCATTTTTTTTTTAAAAATAAATATCACATAATTCCTTTATCCATGACAACCTTCATAAAAATTAATCAATTAAAAGTATTCAATGAGGATATAGGAAAAAATTCATCTGGCGGAGGGGAAGGGTGAAAATTTATGTTGAATATACAATCAACACATCACTAACAAGCAGTGAACTCTGAAAAGATAAGTTCATTCAATCGAGCTTCAGCAAAGTAATAACATTCCTATACATGACAGTGCAAGGCTCTCTGTGGGAAACACTGCCCGGCAATTTTTAAGAGTATTAAGAATTAAGTATAAGACAGTATTAAATATTAAGTATTAATAATTCTTTGGTTGTTTACATGGAACAGAAGCCGTAAAAACAACCTTCAAAAATTTGCAGAGCAACGTGAACAGCTCTTTATCGCTATATTTTTAATTTGTATTGCTTTTTTCCATAATTTTTGGCTTGTGCCTGACCCATTGATAAGTACCCATTGGATATGAACCCTTGATAAATGTAGTGAAGCATGTGTAGGCAAAAAAAAAAAAAAAATATTGAACGATAGAATCAGAAAAAGTACAATTTGAGCCTTACACCTCAACGAATGATATCATCACGAGAGATATTTAACCTTATAATATACTTATTTCAATTTGGCTAGGAAGTAAGTCTCTTGCCCTCACAAAAAAGACGTTTTTTAAAATATATTTTTTAAGATTTTTTTTGAGTTTGATGAACATTGTGATGTATCAATTCATTTAGCTCATCATGATTAGATCATAACAAATGTAAAAAGTATTTCGGAGACGTAGCTAAAAGGGCGAAATTGAATTTTATCAAATTAACTCTTTCTGAGGCCAAACGTTTGGCAGTTTGTCTTTTGTAAAAAAAATGTACAAGTCAAATAAAGTGAGTATTAGGTTACTCTGACTCATGTAATGGTCATAATTAGGAATTTCACAATAAGATATACCTTGGAGCTCAGGGAGACTAGGTTCATTTTTGTACATCATGTAATAATACTATTTACTAATTGATAATAATACAAAACGAAGTGCTTTTCTAAATATACTGATGCTGCTAATGATGTTGAATACATTTATCAATACCGTAGAAGTTCGATTTGTCATTTTTATGCCACTAAACTTTGCTGCAAGAATGATGGACTTCATCCAATAGTTGATGTAACAAAAAAAAGTGAGTAAGACAAAAATGACCAATAATCTCATTGATTAACAATCAACGACAATCAAACAATAATCTCATCTTATTCATTCATTCACCACCTAAAATACCATCAATCGAATAGAAGAAAAAAAGAATCCAACAAACCGGTTTAAGGAAAAAAAAATAAACGGTAATTGAAAAGTGTTCAGGAAAACTACAATTATTTTGTAGACTTCAGAGGCATGAAACATAAATTCACTTTTAGATAATTATTTGAGGTATCCCCAAAATTTCAAAAAAAGCCCCTTGTTTGGATATTAACCTTCTAAAAGAATTAATGCACAACCTCTTGAAAAATACTGATTTGATCTGAGAGATGTTCTTAGAAGTATCTCAAGATCTCAATTAAAAAAGTGAAAGAAGGGAAAAAAATCACAAAAAATAATTGTGTCGATGGGCAAAATGTGCTTATGGCTTGGTAAGAATCCAAGTCAGATCTGAGATCTGTGGTGAGAGAGCACTTTCAGTGACAATTACTACCTCCAGGAAAGCCTGTGAATGAACAAGAATTTGGCTTGAACATTAGTCAGTGAACTTATTTGTCAGATCTCCTGATAAATGAAACCACATTCAAAGATTATTAGTGGAGTGAGTTAGGGCTTTTTTTCATTCACCTAACCCTGCGGCAAATTTTTCTACACCATACAAATAAATACCCATTGCAACACATGTTTCGTTCTTGTTTTCCACTTAAAAATACCTTCCCCTGGATGAGCTTATTAAATCCAATTCAAAATAAAATAAGGGACGTAATCTCAGCTGACTTGAGCGCATCTTGTTTAGAAAGATTAATACGGAACTTTGAAAATAAAATCAGAAAAGTGGATCACAATAATTTTGGAAGCAACAAAACGGCAACTACTCATGGTGCAATTACTAGAGAAATTCTACATGAAATTTCACACAAATGGTGAATTTTCAGGTCAATATCCAGAGGATGAGAGTAGCTCCTAATTAGGATATCAATGGCATTTTTACACTGAAGTCAAGAAAACTAGTTTAAGTAAAAAAAAGACCTTCCTTTTGAATAGTTCATAGGGGAAAAATAAAAAAGTACAACAAAATTTACTTCCTAGAAACCTTTGAATCATTTTCGTCTACTAAATTCAATCCTAACCGCTTCAGATCATCTAAAATAGGGAACGGCCTCCGGGGCCAAGTCTTTATCTGTTTCAGACGATACGAATCTCCTTCTAATTTTTCTAATTCCTTGATTAAAGGATAGATCTTCTGTTCAATCCATTCTGCAATGGTGTATTTGTCAAAAATATTTGCCAACGCATCCTGTGCAGATTGGACAAGCGAAGTTACGGAATGATAAATTCTTGGCTCATCAAGCATAAGCTCATCGAGACGCAGAGGACTCGAAAAGTTATGACGAACATTGTACTCAGTGAGCCACCCTCGTGTGGCTCTTGTTGTCTGAATTAGGTCCTGAACATCTTTCTCAACCATGTTGAGCTTATAAGTCAATTTGAAGAAGAGATGACCGGGAAACATACACCTAGAGAATTGGTCCCACAGGAATGGATCGCTGTTCAAGTTCACAAAGTTGTGCATTCCTCCAACTGTGTTGTATGAATAAATACCGCACTTCAGCGCACTTGTCAGTTTAGGTTGTAAGGAAGAATTAAAGTAGCCGTGGGATGTTGCCAGCAAGTTAACTGCTAGGGATGGGATTCCAGACGGCAGTAATTCACAGAGGACTGCAAAATGATCATACCTGTGAAAATAATAATAGGCTGTCAATCAAAATATGCAAAATAAATAATGAGGTTTTTGGAATAACTAATTTAGAGAATATTGCTATTTTTTGAAGTGCAGGAACTCAGAAACCACGTGATTGAGGTCAAGAGAGCAGTCGCAAGAACAAAAGGGATGGCTGTAAAAAGGTGAAGAGAGTTCATGTTGGAATGGAAATTGTACGTTTTGATTATCATTTTGAACATTTGGAGAGAAGGAGGTGTTTCAAATGAGAAGGCCACTTTGAAAACTGGGGAGGCTGAAAACTTTCTTCATCTCTGCTTCAATTGAAAAATGAATTCTAGAGTTTCATCTTTTGAACTAATTTTGATTTATTATTGGTTTCAAGTTTCTTGGTAGTTATTTACAAAATAGCAGAATCACGTCAGATCCAAAACAGATGAAGAATTTAATCGACTTTTGAGAACACTCAACAGAAGCTTTACTGATTCACTGATGTCAATATTCCATGAAATTACTTCTTCCATACTTTATACTCAATTTTTAGAAACTGAGTTAGACTAAAAACAAAAATGATATATACTTCTGAAAAAAACAATTTACACAAATCCTATCTTTAGAATAGTCCAGGAGGGACTTCATAGCATCATGAATTCAAACAGTCTGACATCCAGACAAAGTCATGTAAACCAAAGTCTGTTGAAAGCAGACGTCTACAGCAAATTGACTCTTTCAGTGTAAATACAGCCATGTATGAAAAGATCGTCTGAATTCACTTTCACAAATCCCCGACCTTTTTCACTATAAATTTTGAATTTCTTCCCAAATTATGAGAATGCATGCTTGAATGAGTACCACAGTAACAGAAATCTTCAAAAGTACCTGACCGTCCACAGGAAAAGAGACCTCAGCAGATCAAGACATGTTTATGAAATGACGGATTTCTCCAAATTGGATAGAAAAATCAGGAATTGAATTTTTGAAATGCAATTGGTTTTTTTGGGAATTTTCGGCTTTGCCTCTGACGAACAAAATCCTGACTTACCTCTGCCACCCAGTAATAACGATTCCTCTAAAGCCAGCCTTGAATTTGGAAGATTCAGCTCTCATCAGATCCAACCAATGGAGATTGTTATCAAGATGCCTCTGGACGTTGGGGACATAAAGAGTTTCTCCAAATGCCCCCTTGAAGGCACTTGCAGTCCATACTGTCGGGAATATTGTTGCATACTTATCCCATACAGGCCCAGGAACAAAACGGTAAATATCTTCTGCATAGACCCACACCTGAGAAAGTAAAAGAATATTAGAGGAGTTATAAGGAGAACTGAGGTTCTACTATTTTTCACAATGATACTTCTATGTAACTGGTGAGTATACCTTATCGTAATTTTTACTTGTTATTGTAGAATTATGATAAAAAAATCGTTGAGCTTGTTTAAGGCAGTAGAAACCTTACTTGATTATAAATACATCGAAAAATCAGTGTCAAAACTTCATCAGTTTTTGAGCAGAAGAAATTATCTTGGACCTAATCAAACGAGGATGATAAAGGTTTGTAATGAGACCAAGATCGGGAATACCTAACTTAGTTTCTGCATTGCAGCATCAGTCCAGGAATTTTAGGGACATCTAGTGTAGAATACTGACAAATGTAGAAATACATTTTCATTCTGGCGCAAGATATCATTGCAATAAAGTTTTACTTACAAATTCAGGGAATTAACAAGAGGAAAAACTAGGAAAATAATAAGAAAATGAAAATGTATCAACTATGAGCAAAAAAATTAGACGAAATGCCTAGATTGACTGTATGCCTCAAACAGACACAAAAAAAGTAAAATTGATTTTTACGAACAAACTACTTTCAGAAGTGTAGCAATCAGTTACTTCAGCAAAAAAAACTGACAAGAGCAAAGTATTTATGTGAAAAATTACCATTGGTTCAACAAGCTGCCCGATGTTATAGCTTTCTAAACTGGAAGTTGAAAGCTGTCTCAGCATATCATCCCAAATAATTGGTGTAACTTTGGGATACTTTGAGCGCACGTACTTGGCTACACTGGAGACATGCATAAGAAAGAGATCGTCTCTCAGCTTCTGTCGACATCGAGAGCATTCACCCATGTGAAATACTTCATCACAGCCTATATGCAGGAAACGAGCATCCTTATGCAGGTGCATCACCTAAAAATTGGAAAAGATATAGAAACAAATGATTTGATCAGTTTAAAAATGCAAAACAATTTTATGCAACAAATGTAGGTCCTTAAACTTCATTCCTTAACAGCTTTTTCTCATGATTTGTGACCAAACTAGAAGAACGATCACACCTTTGACCCTTCTTCAAAGATTCAACAATAAAGTTACGTCAAATGGTGTTCAAAGGAGACACAAGACAAAATGCACTCGTTAATTGGGTTTTATTTCAAGGACGAACACTTTAAGAAAAGATTTGAACTTGAAGACAAAAAAATTAAACATGTTAACTGGAGAGAGTGGAAATCGATGTGCCGCAAATATGTTTCTGAGTTAAAATTTATACCGGAGCACATTAAAAATACAGGAATTTTTCAGAATTAAATAGTAAGGTAGAAACCAATGTTTATGGTTCCGATTAAAAAAAGTTAATTTATGCTTAGACCAAAGCAAAAACTGACGTATATCTGAATGGACATTAAAGACCAGCTTGTGGCTTTGGTTAATAAGTAGAATTTTTGGTACGAAACTTCCCATCTGATGTTAGGAGTTAACATATTTGTCGACCAACATCCAGCACACACGGACTATTGTAAAGCAAACTGATATTATTTTAGCACCTGATTTGAAGGGAGTGGATTTCAGTTTTTAGGTGGGTGGCAAGTTTGAATTGATCACAAAGAAAATTACAATTTCTCACTTGGAATCTAGATTTGGAAATATTTGGGATGTCCACCATGTCTTATGTAAAATTTTTTGTTGGACAAACAAGTTTTGTGGTGCCATAACTTTCTTATTTTTTCTTAACATCCATCTGCAACACTACTGTCACAGACTTTGGGAACCTGGCTCATCTTTCAATGTGGTCTCAACTAACCTGATCAATTAAGTTTTGAATAAACTCCAGGGAGGCGTTGAGAGAAGGACAGAGGGCCTGCGGAGACTCCGGAACTTCACGGAGCCGAGCAAATTGTTCAAGCTTGAGGGCGAACTCGACATGACCAAAAGTCTGAACAAGGGGAATGACCTCGAGGTCGTTCTCACTAGCCAATTTCAGAATGGTGGTCACCTCATCAACAGTATAGGCATTGGTTGCAGCAAGGGATGCTAGTTGCCCTGTAAATGGGAACATGTCCTCCCACTCAAGAAGAAGCCCTGTAGCTCCAAGGTCCTTGAAGAGAGGGAACAAGTCCTTCAGGTATTTCACCTAAACAGAAAAAAAAATAAAATCTTCAGTAAACAAAAAATTCAAAGCTAAGTTATCCAGTCTCAACTTAAATATGTAACATAAAAAATTCGAGCAAAAATGATGATTGAGAGGCTTAGAGGACAAGGCGCATGAGTGCAGTTTTTGCCATTTCAAGAAATACAAGTTTAAAGTTTCAAAATCACACGATAACTTATGGCAGAAAGGAAGCTTAAAGTTGTCGAAACTTTAAGGTTGAATTTTAGTCCTGAATTTTTCACAGATTATACTTTCAAACTAGTTTTGGTTGAGTTCGAGAATATTTCAATTTCTTTCAAAAACTGCACTCATGCATGTCCCCCAAGCCCCTCAATTGAGATGCAAATCTCTTCCTTTCGTAGGAACTCCATTTCTTGTGAATTAGCGCTAACTGATTTTCCCAATCATGAATAACCCAGATTTTAAAATTCGTTCAGGTGCTTTACCTTGGGTGGGGCCCCCTTTAGATCAAGATGGACGAGCCTCTGCTGAGGGACGTAGGGCTTGGAAGACCTGGAGCCGGCATAGGGATTGCCTGGGTAATTGCCGAAGTTGGCCCTCGTTTCGGATCCTCCATCCAGGCTTAGTTCCGGAGCCATCCCTCCGGGGTTTGGACCATTGGATTGGTGGACATGCGAGTGAGAGAGATGCTCGATCTGCACGGTTGGCGGAGAGGGATGTTCGACGAGGAACTGGACATTGTGCTGCTGCGGCAAGATGCGGACTTGCGTTTCGACGGCCCGCACGGCGCTATTGTAATAGAGACAGAGCACCACCAGAACCCCCAAGCTCATCATGCTGCCCACCAAAATAGTCTTGCGTCTCCAGACCTGGATACTCACGCATCCTAGAAGCTGACCAGTCAGGCGCATACCGCACACACCTGAAACGCGAAAATAGAATAAAATGAACATCAAAATATAAGATGGCTCAGGGTGTGGAAAAAACCAAAATTTGGGACGTTTGGGAACTTTTGGGGACTTTTTTCATGAAAATTGGGGACACTTTTACCAAAATAGACGAGGGGAAAGCCGCGAGAGAGAGCGACATAAAGATGAAATATGGATAAAATCTTCGGCAGGAGCGAAAAACTCGACACCCAGAGATGGTAAGTGAAATTTCATAAGGCTCGAATAAATTTCACAATAGTTGTTTATTAATTTTTTTTAGAATTATTAATTAACCCTTTGGAGGTCTAAAAGCGTTTCAGATGGTCTTTCTGTTGATGCTGCGGTATTATGCTACTCTACTGAAGGTACCAGACACAAAGAGGGGGCAAAAAGGGGAGTTCAGAGAGAAAAACCCCAGCCTAACCGAAAACATCTGCAAGGCGCGAATGTTCTAGGCTTGGGGTAAAAAATTTCAAAATTTAGAATCACTGTTTCTAGGCGTTTCTTAGCCTTCTGAATCTTTCCCCAAAAGTTTCAATCAATTTCATGAAATTTTGTGAAATTTCACGCTTGAAATACCACTCGAATAAATTTCATGAAATTTTCCATCTCTGTCGACACCAAACTCGCGAAGTTTCGGACCGTTCCCGCCGAAAGACGTCAGCGAGGGTTTACATTTCTGCCGCCTCGCGCGCAACCATAGCACCGCAAAAATTTGAAATTTTTGGCGGACGATTCTCGTCAGTTTTTGGGGACCTGGACATGAAAATCCCGGGGACATTCGGGGAGATCGGGGACACCTTTCCAGAATCGGGGACAATCGAGGACTTTTGGGGACTGGCAGACACCCTGTAACTACATGAGAATGACGATGGCTATAGTGTCAAATCACGTAACTCCATTGCGGTGTTTCAAAATCTCCGCTCCTATTTTAGATTTGCGGAGAGAAGCAAGTCAACTAAACAGCTTAAAAATTATTACGGAATATTCTGATAGTAGGAAACAATACTTAATCAAGAAAGTTTTCAAGATATTAAGTTTACTAGTTTCTCAAAGAGAAAAATACGGTGTGACGAGGAATCTGCAACGTCGCAAACGGAGATACGTGTACAGGGCCGGATTTACCTACTTGCCGCCCCTTTCTCATTTGTTTTGAAACATCAAAAAAAACCATCACGTGAACGTGCCGGAGGAGGAGGGGTGCATAAGACGCGTTCACCCGTGTTGGACACATTTTTAGCGAAAGCCCTGTCAATACTACTGGTAAAAGTTCACTGAACTTTGCGCGAAAGTTCAGTTCCGTAAACCCATCTCTGTGTGGACAAAGCCTTCCAATTGTAAGAAATGAACGAAAAAATTATGTAAGAACAAACATAAATGTGATTTAATAATTTTAACTTCCGCCACCGCGCCGCGCTGACCGCACTGTGTTTGGCGCAATGCGTGAAATATTCATGCATTCTTGTAAGCGCTACACATTTCACGCTGACCGCACTGTGTGTGACGCAATGCGTGAAGTATTCATGCACTCTTGTAGGCGCTAATATGTGTTACCTGCCGTCCACCGCTCCGAGGGCTTCTCCTTTTCATCTCAAGTCCTCCATCAAGGCCAAATTGCGTGTTTTGTTTCTCTTTTAACGTGACTAATTAAAGGTGTGCAGTGTTTGGTATCGCCGAAAGACGACAAAATTAGAAATTAATATACTCCCAGAAAATGAGATATTTTGTCGCCTCTTCTCGTCTGCAATTTTTTTTCTGAATCCGATTTTTTTTATGCCTACATTTAAGGAAATTGCAAAGTTTGCCACCCCCTAAATTTGCCGCCATGGACCGCGGTCCATGCGGCCACCCCGTAAATCCGACCCTGGTTTCGCACTTTGGCTATCGATATGAGATCAGCATTGAGCAAACCTTGGGACAGAGGCACATACTGCTGTGTTAAGGAAAAACGCCGTATGAACATTCGAGAGTTGCCAAATTTTCTACAATAATATGTTCATTTTTGAGGAAAGATAAGAATATTTTTCCTTGAAATTTTCAGGGACAATAGGTGAAATTGCGAACAAAATTATCTGAAAAATTGGAAGGAAACTATTCATAAGTTAACCAGGAAATTCGTGTTTTATCAAAGGAAATTTGGCAACGCCTGAAGGTTCATACGGCGTTTTTCCTTAGCACGGCAGCATAAAGGAGGCGACTTGCCCTGTGCAGAGACAAATTTAATATGGATCCTGAAATGGTGTCTCACTATAACATTTCTGTTTCTGCATGCTCCTGTTTGGGAGGCATTACACCATGGGTGAGCATTTGAGAAACGACAGCTTTTTCAAACAAAAATAAGGGGTCTTTGAGCAGTTTAGCACGAAAAAAAATTTGACTTTCTCAAATCCTTGGAGAAACTTGGGAGAGGGGGAGATTTTTCAAGAGAGCGATGGGCGAACTTGATGTGAAATACTCAATTTTAAGTTTCTTGGTGCTAGGGCCGCTTTTTTCAAAGACTATCACATTTGGACTTTATTTTACAATTTGGAACTACAATGTCTGGCTCAGTTCAGAAACAACGTATGTACCATTAGTTTCCCTGTGCACATGAGTATTTTTACGGCTGAGCCAGAAATTGTACTTCCAAATTGGAAAATGCGGTCCATTTCATCCCCCACCCACCATTCAAGGGAGAATCTGTAGGAGGTGGTGGAGACTCACCTCACAAAAAGCAGGGAAAGACAGCAAAATCCATTTTGCTTCACAGAGTTTGGTGGAGCACCGATGAGTAGAATTTTCTTATGAACTTACAGAAACCACTGATAGACCTCTGCGAACAGAACAAAACAGACATATGAGCTAAAAAAGAAAGCATGTGCTGCTACGTGCAACTCCCGCCTACGGAACGTCATTCCAAACACATATACTTAATCATTACAAATTATTATGAAAGGTTCCTAAAAATTTTAAGCTAAACACAAAATGTTTAAGGAACAGGTCTTGACAAGCGTGTTCTTATTATTTTTACAGGTCTTATTACATAGGCTGTCCCAAAACAACTGGCACTAAGGCTGTCATTCGGAAACTACAATAGATATCGACATGCGGTTTACGGGAGGTGATAGCTCATACTCTTGGCTCTTAAACGAGCCTAAGTTGAGCTAGTTTGGTTAAAAATTCAACGAGTTACATCAATTTTCCCGAGACGTGTAAGAAATACCCCTACGGATTTTTCGGTAATTTTTCATTCCGTTAACTTTGCCTCCGCAAGCTTTGCAAGTGGTTCAGACGTTATGAATCAAGTTTCCACTTGTCTGGATGCAAGTTTGAACTTTCCAGCAAGTGTTTCCATCACAGCCGAGAAGTTTTTTTCTGTTTGCAAAGTCCATTTAGTGAAATTGTCCGGCCTGATAACGCGTTTTTTTGTGTTTCGTCATGAGTTCACCCGCGCAGTTGAAGCAAGGGCAACGATACGCAATTCCATATTGCGTTCGTCGTGAATTATCTGCTTCTGAAACTGTGAATGAAATGACAGTGGCTCAGAGGTGTTTTAGAGGCAGATAATTCACGACGAACGCAATATAGAATTGCGTATCGTTGCCCTTGCTTCAACTGCGCGGGTGAACTCATGACGAAACACAAAAAAACGCGTTATCAGGCCGGACAATTTCACTAAATGGACTTTGCAAACAGAAAAAAACTTCTCGGCTGTGATGGAAACACTTGCTGGAAAGTTCAAACTTGCATCCAGACAAGTGGAAACTTGATTCATAACGTCTGAACCACTTGCAAAGCTTGCGGAGGCAAAGTTAACGGAATGAAAAATTACCGAAAAATCCGTAGGGGTATTTCTTACACGTCTCGGGAAAATTGATGTAACTCGTTGANCAGCGAGGGTAGGTACTCTAAGCGAGGGTTTACATTTCTGCCGCCTCGCGCGCAACCATAGCACCGCAAAAATTTGAAATTTTCGGCGGACGATTCTCGGCAGTTTTTGGGGACCTGAGCATGCAAATCCCGGGGACATTCGGGGAGATCGGGGACACCTTTCCAGAATCGGGGACAATCGAGGACTTTTGGGGACCGGCAGACACCCTGTAACTACATGAGAATGACGATGGCTAAAGTGTCAAATCACGTAACTCCATTGCGGTGTTTCAAAATCTCCGCTCCTATTTTAGATTTGCGGAGAGAAGCAAGTCAACTATACGGCTTAAAAATTATTACGGAATATTCTGCTAGTAGGGAACAATACTTAATCAAGAAAGTTTTCAAGATATTAAGTTTACTAGTTTCTCGAAGAGAAAAATACGGTGTGCGAGGAATCTGTAACGTCGCAAACGGAGATACGTGTACAGGGCCAGATTTACCTACTTGCCGCCCCTTTCTCATTTGTTTTGAAACATCAAAAAAAAAAACCATCACGTGAACGTGCCGGAGGAGGAGGGGTGCATAAGACGCGTTCACCCGTGTTGAACACATTTTTAGCGAAAGCCCTGTCAGTACTACTGGCAAAAGTTCACTGAACTTTGCGCGAAAGTTCAGTTCCGAAAGCCCATCTCTGTGTGGACAAAGCCTTCCAATTGTAAGAAATGAACGAAAAAATTATGAAAGAACAAACATAAATGTGATTTAATAATGTTAACTTCCGCCACCGCGCCGCGCAGACCGCACTGTGTTTGGCGCAATGCGTGAAGTATTCATGCACTCTTGTAGGCGCTATGCGTTTCTTGCCGACCGCTGTTGACCGTATACTGTGTTTAACGCAATGCGTGAAGTATTCATGCGCTCTTGTAGGCGCTATGCGTTTCTTGCCGACCGCTGTTGACCTTGACCGTACTGTGCTTGACGCAATGCGTGAAGTATTCATGCACTCTTGTAGGCGCTAATATGTGTTACCTACCGACCACCGCTCCGAGGGCTTCTCCTTTTCATCTCAAGTCCTCCATCAAGGCCAAATTGCGTGTTTTGTTTCTCTTTTAACGTGACTAATTAAAGGTGCGCAGTGTATGGTATCGCCGAAAGACGACAAAATTAGAAATTAATATACTCCCAGAAAATGAGATATTTTGTCGCCTCTTCTCGTCTGTAATTTTTTTTCTGAATCCGATTTTTTTTATACCTACATTTAAGGAAATTGCAAAGTTTGCCGCCCCCTAAATTTGCCGCCATGGGCCGCGGCCCACGTGGCCACCCCGTAAATCCGGCCCTGGTTTCGCACTTTGGCTATCGATATGAGATCAGCATTGAGCAAACCTTAGGACAGAGTCACATACTGCTGTGTTAAGGAAAAACGCCGTACGAACATTCGAGAGTTGCCAAATTTCCTACAGTAATATGTTTATTTTTGAGGAAAGATAAGAATATTTTTCCTTGAAATTTTCAGGGGCTATAGGTGAAATTGCGAACAAAATTATCTGAAAAATTGGAAGGAAAATATTCATAAGTTTACCAGGAAATTCGTGTTTTATCAAAGGAAATTTGGCAACGCCTGAAGGTTCATACGGCGTTTTTCCTTAGCACGGCAGCATAAAGGAGGCGACTTGCCCTGTGCAGAGATAAATTTAATATGGATCCTGAAATGGTGTCTCACTACATTTCTGTTTCTGCATGCTCCTATTTGGGAGGCATTACACTATTGGTGAGCATTTGAGAAACAACAGCTTTTTCAAACAAAAGTAAGGGGTCTTTGAGCAATTGAGCACGAAAAAAATGTGATTTTCTCAAATCCTTGGAGAAAAGTGCGAGAGGGGGAGATGTTTTAAGAGGACAATGGGCCAACTTGATGTAAAAAACTCAATATTCAGTTTCTTGGTGCTAGGGCCGCGTTTTTCAAGGACTATACCACGTTTTCATCCCCCACCCACCATTCAAGGGAGAATCTGTAGGAGGTGGTGGAGACTCACCTCACAAAAAGCAGGGAAAGACAGCAAAATCCATTTTGCTTCACAGAGTTTGGTGGAGTACCGATGAGCAGAATTTTCTTATGAGCTGACAGAAACCAATGATCGACCTCTGCGAACAAAACAAAACAGACATATGAGCTAAAAAAGAAAGCATGTGCTGCTATGTGTAACTCCCGCCTACAGAGCGTCATTCCAAACACATGATCATTACAAATTATTAGAAAAGGTTCCTAAAATTTTTAAGCTAAACACAAAATGTTTTAGGAACAAGTTTTGACAATTGCATGCATGTTTACAATGTCACTTGATAATAGGGCAAGACGGCTTCAAGGGCACCCGGGGGTGTCACCCCCTCCCCCAGGTGTTCTCTCGTAATACAGGCAAGTAAAGCAGATTCCATTTCCGTTTTAAAAAAATTGTCTTTTGAAATTTCCCTTCACCTTTCAAAATTTTCCCTTTGCGCAGAGTAATCCTCAGAGGTTACAAGGGGAAAAAACATTTTCCGAACGGCCGTGAACGAGATAATCAGGTGATATAAAATTCAAGGAGTTTCGAGAAAATTTTATTTTGCCGAAATTCGAAGATATTCAGGGCCTTGAAAAGTTTAAAAGAAACCCATTTTCGAGGGTTTAGAGTTGCATTACAACGGGAAGAAAGGGGGTAAAAAAATCGAATTGTTAAAGGGACGTTTTTAATGTGCGGACCCTTAAAGTGCCATGAAAAGTTTGGAAAAGTCGACTCGTTCTTCGATGACACGCCAACACGGGGTTTTTTTCAAATATTTATGGGAGTTCCAGGTTCCCCATTTCCCCCCGTTATTCTTCCGAGGATGAGTCTGTTGCGCTGGTCACAGAATCGTGTTCTGATTCTTGTGTAGTAGCTAAACATAATAAGATCTGTCCAAACAGCAGCTTTCTACGTCAAATATTAACCGAGGTATCGCCCTTTGAAAAGTCGGGTTTTTTACGTTATCCACCGCGGTAATGACACCCTTGGTTTCTTCCACCTTGTTTTCATCAAAGTGTCATGTTGAACAACCATGGCAAATGTACGTCACGCCGACTGATGAAAGTATCAAGGTGGAAGAGACCAAAGGGTGTCACTACCACGGTGGATGGCGTAAAAATCCAACTTTTCAAAGGGCGATATCCCGGTTAATATTGAACGTAGAAAGTTGCTGTTTAGACAGATCTTATTATTTTTAGCTAACCTACGAGAATCAAACATCAATACACGATTCTGTGGCCAGCGTAACTGACACATTCGCCCAATTAATGCGACCGGCCGGCACACGACCGAGCCGGGAACTTTCTCCACCCCAGCGGGCCGATTATTGAAATTGATAGACAAAGCTATAGACAAAGAAGACAAAAGGGATATGGAGGAATCCTATTGGTGGAAGCGGGTGGTCGCAATTGACGAAGCCGGCAGGTAATGATATATAACCAACGGCAACTCACGAGAAACCCGACAATTAGTCCATCATTTTCTCCCTTGGTCTATGGGAACCACACATTTCAACCAATAGAATAGCTCCATACTAGCTACATCCTCTTTGCCTATCGCTTTGTCTATCAATTTCAATAATCAGCCCGCTACGGACCCTTAACATCACTTTCTGAAAAATGTATTTTTCACCCGGAATGAACCGTGTTGATCATAGAAGTCGATCAGAGTTCGATTGAATTGTCAACGAGTTGAGTAGGTTCTTAATTCACGAAAGCACTCGAGCGCGTCAACTTCCTACCGAGAGCATTTGGCGAGATAACAGTGGCAATGCACTTGAATCCATCGGCGTTAATGCAGTGCATCTCCTTTCCCTGGTGAGCCTTACAAATAGGCACTTGAATGGGCTTGGAGCCCCATCAGAGAACGATCATGCTCGCTTTCAAAACCGACTGATTCATTTACCTATCAATCGTCG